AAATCATCACCTTTGTTATCTGAGCTGCATGGTTTTTATGATATCAGTTCTGCCATGTACTTGCATTCATTACTTGCATCTTGGGCTTGGCCTCACCATTTTTGTTTCTTTGAAGAGTGCTGGTTAAATACTTCTCAGCTGACAAGAGTTACATGCTTCATTTTTTTTTTTAAGCTGTGCTAGATGCTGTGCAGATGTGGAAATGAACAAGTACTGTGTGAGAAAGCCATGTCTGAAGTTATAAATGCATTTTTTTTTGTTTGGGGAACCAGTCAGAGTTAATAAAATTTTTGAAGGTATCGGGCAATTCTTTTCTGGTCTTGTTTACATGTATTATTAGTTAGAATACGTTGCCTTATGAGGCATGTTTAAAGCAAAGAAGTCCTGTGCTAGTATAAAAGCAGCAGTGTTTCAGTCAACTGGATGTCCCCTTAGATACACAAGTCCAGTTCTGATGGAAGTACCACAAGTTCCTTGTTGGTATCCTCCATAAAATCTCTTTTCATCTTTTACTTACCCCAGGGGACGTGAATTAAACAAATAGTTGATAATATTCTTAATGACTAAGGTGTCGCATAGGATAATTAAAGGAAAATATTTTGTGTTCCAAAGCTGTGGTGATGGTTGGGAATTATTGCCCAAGTTCTTAAGTGTGACCTGAGGATTAATTTTAACCTTAATATGCAGGGGAAAAATATGGAGCTAGTGCTTATACTATGTTTGTCCTCAAGAAAGGACTAATTTAATGCCATTGCATTTAAAAGGAAAAAAAAAAGGATCTGACTGAAACCAGGTGGATGTACCAGCTTGTGCTTTTGGACAGTTGTAAGAATGTACTGATGGCTGGATATATTGTAACAAGCTGTAATTGAGGGTTTTGAGCTTTCTCTTTGTGCATGTGGGGTGTTGGTATGTGCATGGACTTCAAACACTGAAGCATATCAAGGTTGAAGGGGTCAGTTTGGTTAGGCACAAAAACTGACTGCAAAACGGTTTGGACTGGCAAGTCTGAAGCAATTCTAATAAACTACCAATTGTGGGACTGGTTAAAAGGGCTGGTTTGTTTATGTTATGAAATTGAGTCTCCAAGCAGTTTCTAATCATGTGCAGTGAAGTTCAGCTTTCAGACTGAGTCTGATGCTACAGGAAGCTTTCTTAATTTGCAAACAAGTAAATTAGGCTGGAAAAGAATAACACTTGTGCATTTGAAATGCACGCTTAGTGTTGACAGCAGGAAAGGAAGATAATGTAGTTGTTAACCAATTTATGCTTCTTATGGGGTGATGGACTACTTGATTAATGGTACTTAAAATTCAGATCTTGCAGCTGGGAAATTCTGTGTTTGGAATAGGAGGCAGTAGTCTAAGAGATGCTCAGAAGAACTACCAGTATTGGTGAGCTGTGCTGTTAACTTGCTTTGTTTGTAGTTAGTTGGCTTGATGAGGCATTAAGAAGGGATTCACACAACTAGTTCCCTTCCATTTGCTCTACTCTTTAGTAGGAAGTATCAGCAATGTCTGCCCCAAAGTCTTACGGGATGCAGCCCCCGCTACCTTTAGTTTCTATCCATTCAGATCCCTCTTGAGCCATCTCATGCACTACTGTACTCTGCAACATGGTTTCCAACTAAGATTCTCATTCTACTTCCACCTAAGGAAGTTATTGCCTGCTGATTCTTGAGGTGCAACAGTGTGAGCAATTTATGAGACACTATGAAGGGAAATGTCGCTCTTTAAAGCATGTTTTTCTGCTCTCTCATCTTACAATGTTGTGCTGCTGGTAATGCACATGTCTAAAACCTTGGGAGAAATTGGTTGTAAATGTAGATGATCTGGTGAAGCTTGTAAACGTCATGATTATATAGAAAGCTGTCAGTCATGAGGTGCTGGGATTGCATCAAATGCAAGTAAATGTTCCAAATGTGCTTTATGCACCTCATGTGGAAATGTTAAAACTCCTGAAGAGTTGTAGCTTCTACGTGAAAATGTTTTGATTCCTGTGCATAAATGCCCAAAGCCATGCTTTGTGACCTTAAATGGCTCCAAAGAAGGGAAGACTTTGTCGACAAATAATTTATGAATCTTTTTAATACCGTTCTGGTATTTTTTAATGAGAAAACTATAAGTCTTCCGTGTTTTTTGTTCCAAAACGAACTTCTCAGAGGCCTATGACGATGGTTTCAGTGTCACTTATGCTTCTGGAAGCCTGTCAGCAGTTTGTTGCTGGGTTTCTTTTTCCCCACGCTGCTCTAGAGCAGGTAAAAATGCACTTCAGAAGAGTCTAGAAAGCAGCATGGGTGGCTGGTGTGAATTTGCTGCAAGCATTCGTATCATTTACAGCTTCTTCACTATCATTTTTCAGTGCTTGTATGTAGAATTTTTATTTTTTTGTGAGGTTGCTCCAGGAATCCTTGTGCTGCTAGGCTTTGCGTTTGATTGGGATTCTGACTAACAGAAAGTTTTGAGAGCAGATTTTTTTCTTTAATTATTGTTTACAGAGACAAAGTCATTTCTCAAAATTCTCTTGACTTGCCCTACAAATACCAATTACTGTAGGGAATTGCTTTAGTAGAGCTATTGCAGCTTTCTTTGCTTCCAGTTAGCTTGTTTATTCTGAGTATAGTCGTGTGTAAATGATGTTGAAACGATATACAGCCTGTAAAATTTCATTCCTTGCTATTGCATGTCCTACTGCATTTGAAATACTGAAGGAAAGAAAAATGCACGTGATCATAGAAGATGGGGCAGTTGTAATGGAATAGATCAGCTGCAAGAGCTAAGAGGCGTTTATTGAAATCTCTTTGGAGCTTAACTTAACAGCAGGATTTCTGCCTCCGTGCTTACAATTCTTTGAAAGCATACTTAGAAAACAGCAGTTTTTAATTGTCATCTCGTTGGCCTAAGATTCTAGGTGGGTTCATTTCCTTTGTAGGGGTGTGAGCAGCTTCTGAAATCTTGCAGAATGTACCCAAGGCTTGGAAGTAAGTTAATTGTGACCATAAACAGCTTTTACTTTTTAGAACGCTAAACTTTTATCACAATAAAAGAATAAATTTAGTCTGGTTTTGGCCAAGTTTATCTCCCTTTATGTATTTCTGTTACTTTGAAGGGTGAAAAGGTTCTCATGTGGAACTAAACCTACGTTGGAGGTTGGCCATGTCCTGATTTCTTCAGAAAGTCGGTGAAACATAATTTAAAAAAAAATAAGAAAGCTTCTTTTCTTTTCATTTTTGCAGTGCCCGCTTCTAAGGACCAGGTGGGGCAGTGGGAAGCATCAGACTTTTTAATTTCTCTTTGTTTTCATTGTGTTTGTTGTTATCTTCCATTTCTTTCTGTATTACTGAAAAGCTGAAGGATCAAAGAAGTGCTGGTGGGGCTGAGCTAGGAGTGAAATATGTTTTGTTTTTTTCCTGTGAAAGGTTGGTTATAAAATTTCAAACCTGTACTCTTCATCACAGCTGAGTGTCTTTAGTTCTCTTCCCCACTTCCCTCACCTTCTGTGGCATAAAATCTGGAATGGTTGTATGTGGGACAGCATAAATGAGGCCCAGAGGGGTGTGCTGCATCTTTTATTGGAGCTGCTTACTATGTAGTTTGGTGTGGGCTTGAGCTCTCAGTGCAATACCAAAGTACAGTAAATGAGTAGGGTTAGTGAAAGCCTTTTTGTTCTTGTTATTCTTGTTAAGGTACCCATCCATGCCTTTAAGTGTGTTTTTAAATGTCTAAATGCTTGGAAAAGCCTTATCAGAAACTCAGTCAAAGGTGGGAAAAGATAGCCTTAATTAAATGCAGGAATCGAAGGGAAGCAGAGTAAAGGTTCACAGACCTTCATGTTAGCCCTTTTTCACTTATGTGCACATTTGGTGTTTCAGGGTCCATTAGGTTTTTTAATTCACCGCAGTTTATCAAAAGTTGAGAGACAATGTTGTTTGGCAGTTCTGTAGCAAGAAAGGAAGCATCTTTTGTTATTGACATCCTTTCTCTTAGCTCTGCTCTTGCTTTTTGCCAGCTGCTCATTGTCTATACTTGCTTATTTAGTATTCACAAGAGATTTTACAAGTTCTTATCAGCTCTTTGCCACAGGACATCATTTCCTCTTGTCATCGTTACTCCTTAATTTGGGAGGGGGGATGGTGTGTGAAGGGTGTACAGGAGAGCCGGTGAGTGGCAAAAACACCATTCATGAATCTGCTTGGGGTGCACAGCCTTGTTTTGTTTCTTCTCTCCTTTCTAAGGCAGTTCATAGCAAAGGTCACATATCCAGTGCTTGCTCTGCCGTGCTCCCCCCTGCTCTTTTCTGGGGAAAGGAAAACGATTTTTTTTATTTTTTTATTTTTTGCCAAAAGCTAAAAATATCCAGTGCTTCAAATATTCTTCTTAGAAGATATAAGGAAGTGCAGCATAAAAATAGCTGTAGCTGAAAAGATTGGCCGCAGTTCTGAATGGCTCAGAAGGGATTGATTTGGGGGGCTTCATGCTCTTTAAAAATGATGGAGTATCTAATTGGAGCTCAGGTATTTGAGCTGTAGTGTTTTCTCCTTTTCAGAAATAAAGATCTATTTGTAAGGCTGATTACTTCTCTGGAGCAGTGTCTGTGGATCCTGCTACTTCCACCATGACTTCTGCTTGTTTCTGGTAGCAGCTTTGTATCTTCAGGTGAAGCTCTGTGATATAAGACAAATATCTTAAAGCAGATTTCCTGTTTGTTTTCAGCTCCTTCCAGAGTTTCCTTCTGAAGAAGTGTTTGGACATTAATGTTGACAGAAGCCATGCAGTCTCTTTGATCCTCTAAATGTCTCTTTTCTCACCTATTAGAGATGAATAGATGGGAACTCTGGTAATGTTTTCCTATATTCAGCTTTAGGCAGAGATTCTAGTAGGGTAGGAGGTTTGTTACGACAACTAGAGTTAAAATGAACATTCTTCTAATAGTATCTTTTTTTTGTTCTACGTTATTATTTACTTGTTTACTAATTGCTTGTTTACTCGTCTTCTTGATAGAGCTAAATTGGAAGAGTTGATTGTTATTTTTGAAGTGAAGACTTCATCACTGACGTCTATATGTTTATTTGTCAGCGTCCGAGAAGTAATACAGCTCACCAGTGGCAATAACTGCCTTTGGTATACACTGACATTTATTTGAAAACAAGAATTAACAAAAAAAAGGCAAAACCCAACGAGTCTTTTGAAGACGTGTGTCAAATGACGTCAATGGCCAGTTTGTTCTCCTTTACTAGCCCAGCTGTAAAGCGTCTGTTGGGCTGGAAACAAGGAGATGAAGAGGAAAAATGGGCGGAAAAAGCTGTTGATGCTTTGGTAAAAAAGCTGAAAAAGAAAAAAGGTGCTATGGAAGAACTGGAGAAAGCTTTGAGCAGTCCAGGACAGCCCAGCAAGTGTGTTACCATCCCTCGTTCTTTAGATGGACGACTTCAGGTTTCTCACAGAAAAGGCCTTCCCCACGTAATTTACTGTCGTGTCTGGCGTTGGCCTGATCTACAAAGCCATCACGAGCTGAAGCCATTGGATATTTGTGAGTTTCCTTTTGGATCTAAACAGAAGGAAGTCTGCATCAATCCTTACCACTATAAGAGGGTGGAGAGCCCAGGTATGTTTGAGCGTGGCTATCAAACAAACAAATAAAATCCCCAGGAATCACATGTTCTTTGCATCAGTACCATGCGATTAACCTAACTTGGTGTATGGGGAGGTTTCGAAGAATAACGTCTTCAAAAGTGAATTTTTTCTTCTGAGGTTATGGTGAGACGTTGTCCATTCCATACCAGCTGTTTTTCCTTATGGTAAAACATGGCTTTCCCACAGATCTTTAAAGACTGCTACCTGTAAAGTTAGTGGCAAAGTCCTCATTTGCAATAAAGAAGGAAGGCAGTGATCAAAAGTCTCTGCATCTCTGTTGCAACTGACTGTTGTCTGCAAGTGCTTTAGCACTTGAAGTCTGAATTCCAGACTTCAGTGCTCCTGAATTTGAAGGTTGAAATCCCAACTTAGCAATACTTACGTATTGTATTATATATTATATATATATATTTTGTCTTCAGTGAAAAGGTTTAGATGTAGCTATGTAGTTTGACTAGTAATATGGACTGAATTTCCATCTGTACTGCTTTTGTAATACGCAGAGTGGGTTTTACACTTCTAAACCAGTAGTTTGTTGTGCACTACATGTGAACTGCTTTGGTGTTTTGTAATTTAAAAAGTTGCTCTCAATTGCATGAAATGTAAGTGTATTTCTGCTCTGTTTTTCTGCAAGACTGGAGTGTTAGTCCTTCATACAGAGAGAGGGGTTGGTGGTACAACAGATTAATGCTTTCCTCCATGCACATTGGTATTGAAATTTTCATGGTGAGCAAAATTGCACGTTGTTTATATCCTTTTCCTTCTATCTAAGTGGTTTGTTTGGTTGGGTTTTTTTGTTTGTTTTCCAGTTCTACCTCCAGTGTTAGTGCCTAGACACAGTGAATTCAATCCACAGCACAGTCTACTCGTTCAGTTCAGGAACCTAAGCCACAATGAACCACACATGCCACATAATGCGACGTTTCCAGATTCCTTCCAGCAGCCCAACAGCACTCCATTTTCCATTTCACCAAACAGTCCCTATCCACCTTCTCCAGCCAGCAGCACTTACCCAAGCTCCCCAGCTAGCTCTGGACCATCTAGTCCATTTCAGCTACCTGGTAAGTACAGCCTAAATGTGAACTTAATGGAGAGATTTTATTGCAGTACTTAGCTGCTGTGATACTTACAATAAATTGCTTTGTTTGCATTTTAAGGAATTTTAATCCTAGTTTTGTTGCTGGTCAGAGTTGACTGTCATTGTTTTGTCTTTCCAAACGTTCTCTGTCATGTATACTGTAGTAGTAAAATACTTTGCACAGCTTCAATATAAGATAATTGATGTGTGCTTTAGAAGAATGTCTAGCAATGAAAGAAAGCAGATGGAACAGTCCAAGCAGAAAGTTTATTAATATTCTTCTCTGGAGAATACCTAAATATAGCATTTAACTGAAATAAAAAATAACTCTCAATAGGAGAAACTTAAATACTTTGAAAATAATGGTGGGTGGGAACTAAATGGAAAGAGCAAAGGAAAGAAGGTCTTGAATCTGCCTGGTTATTGCTGTGATTTATAAAGCTGAGAAGGTAAAGGATTAAAGAATACATTTTTGCAGGAGCTCAGAGGCCTTGTTAGTGTCCATTCTACATGGTATCCCTCCTCTTGTTGTGTGCAGGTTCCTGCAGACCAGGTGTTTTAACCTCTCTTGTTGAAGGCTGTTTTACTGTGTTTACAACTCAGCTGTAAAGCGCAGAAATAAATAGTCCACGTTGTTGAGGTTTATTTGCTCTTTTTTTTTCTCTTGTGTGTAGCTGATACTCCACCTCCTGCATATATGCCCCCTGATGATCAAATGGGGCAGGATAACTCTCAGTCTATGGACACAAGCAATACAATGATCCCTCAAATCATGCCAAATATATCTACCAGAGGTAAGTTGTATAGTATGATGCAGAAGTAACCTTGTTTGGCTTCTTAATACTCGTAATCGAATTGAATGTATAACTTCAAATGGTGCAGTAAATCTGTGCTGGTAAATTGAAGCAGTACAAAAAAAAAATGGATTTGCAACAGCAAGAACTAAGAAACAAAATTTGCTGTGCTCATCTGCCTCTTGCTTTTAATGTGTAGTGTGGCTTAGTGTAAGTTGAACTTTTTCATTTGCTGCTATTTTTACCTGCTGTCAGAATTGTATATGCACAAGGGCACTGAAAATTATGACCCAAAATACTAATAATTAAAAAAAAATTGAAAATGAAAAAGTAGACAGAAGAATCATGTGTCACCTGATATCATAATCATCTGAATCTTTTGTGTAGGATTTTCTTTTTGCTTTATATCTGCCTTAAAACAGGAAAACAAAATCAATGGTCTAGCAGATATGTGTGAAAGTAAGTTAAAATCATTAAGATTTTAATCAAGAGACTTGCTCTTGCCCATCACAAATAGTGACCAAGTTGTTACTTACCTATTGGTATTTTGAAATGCTTACAGTTTCAGATGTGATGTGTTAAATTTTATGTAAACTGCCATTTCCATTTTGCTTGTTTTCAGATGTTCAGCCTGTTGCCTATGAAGAACCCAAACACTGGTGTTCGATTGTGTATTACGAATTGAACAATCGTGTTGGGGAGGCCTTTCATGCATCTTCTACAAGTGTCTTAGTAGATGGGTTTACAGATCCCTCCAATAATAAAAACAGGTTCTGCTTAGGTTTGCTCTCAAATGTTAATCGCAACTCAACCATTGAGAACACTAGACGACATATTGGGAAAGGTGAAGTTTCATTCTGTTTTGTACACTTACAAAGTTAATCCTTGCTTTTACTGTTACTGCTTTTATTTATGAGTAGTCATTGTAGCGTAGTGCAGAGATATTGAAACAGTTTGTGATTTATCTTCCTCTCTAATATCTGAAGATATTTTTTCTGTGTGGATTGGTTCTCATCGATCTAGGAGTTGCATAAGTCTTTTTCTTTAGCAGTAATGTAAGAAAGTACTTGTATTTTACAAACTGTTGTTGTAGGGGCTTTTTTGTTACAGTCAGTGATACTCTGTATGTAGAAAGCTTTATTTCAGCACCAACAAACGCACAGGACTTCTGAAATCCTGTATCTTCTGCTTAAACACTTCATGCTGCTTTAGAGTGTATCAGAGTGCTGGTTCTTCTGTTCATGGAGCATATTACACTGCTGTCTGCAGTATGTTAATATCTTGCATAAGTTGGCAGCGAGACTTTGAAGTGCTAATGTAAAACTGCAAGGGCTCATTTGTCTGAGTGAATCCATGGGTGTGTTTGTGTGTGGGAGGGATTCCTGGAGACAGCAGGTTGTGCAGGATCTTCTAGTTTTCCCATAATGTTTGGCTGATAGCACGTAGAGATGCACAGTGTTCATCTTTGATGGAATGTGCTTGAATTATCTTAAAATGCAGTGCTCCTTTTCTGAGTACCTCCTTTTTCATAATTAAGTCCTTGAGAAGAAAACCTGCCTTCTCTTGCGTGTAAGAGACATTTTTTAGCACATAAAATCATTTGTTATGTTTGAACTCCTGTTTTCTTGATACAACTCACTATTACTGCTGAACTTCAAGGCTTGTAATGTCTCTTAGAAGGCTTTTAGGTAGAAATTAGGCATGGCAAAAAATTGCAGTTGTTCTGGAGACCAAATACACCTTAATATTTGTTAGAATATTAAAGTAGATGCAGTTCCTTTGTCTGAGAAGAGGAAATGGTATCAAGTGAGAACAGCAGACTTTTGGGAGCTGAATGGAGGTAGGGGAAAGGCTGTGTGAGCTTCTTTTGGTTTGAGTTACTGCTGTGGCTGGTACTAGTGGACAAATGTTACGTATCCACTGGAGAAGGTAATAAATCTAAATTAGATCCAAAATCTTGTGGAGTATTGATCTCAAGAAAATCTGGAGCTTTAAAATGTCTGTGTGTTTAGTACTAATTATTAATCTAAAGCTTTGCTTTACAGTAGCAATTCTGAGTACAATTAAGATTGTTTTGGTATACAATATTATTTATGGCTTTTTTTTGGAGAATCTTGTGATTTTTTTGCTGCCTTAAAGCTACCTGCTTCTAATTTCTCAGCTTTTTCTGCACAAGTATTGCATTGCAGGAGTAAATGACCTCTAATTATACACTGGATTATTTTTGAATTACCAGTATTCTTCTCAGACTGCTGGATGTATTTTGCTTCTTTTTAGCTCCCCCAGTAGGCTTATACCCAAAAGAATTTAGCAGCAGGTGGTAGTTGCCCTTGTCTCTTTAAATAAACACGATTGTGTAGTGAAAATGTGTTTTTGCACACCCCAGATTTTCTGCCAGCTGCTTATAGTAGGTCAAGCCAATGGTTCCTCTGTGTGAACTTTGTCCCACCTTAGTCCCAAGTGGATCTAGCAGTGTTCACAACAGTTGTTGCTGTCTGAAAGATCAGCTGGCATCTGTTGACTTGCTGGAGCCTCATATGGCAAAGCATGGAGCAGTCAGCAGGGCATTTAAGAAAGCTTACCAAAGTGAGCCACATCTCAGGTGTGTGACTGTGACGGGTGGAGGAAAGGGAGAAGGTCTGGCAGAAAGAAGGCAGGAATCTCAACTGAAGTACCAGTGAGAGTCTGTGTTTGAGCACTGAAGGGATCAGTGGGTGGCTTTTAGACATGTTGAATAAGATGTAGTGCTCTAATAAGCCATTCATAACAGAGGAGGGAATAATTTATATGCATAGCTGAATGCAGACAGTGGTGACAAATCTAGAGCCTCCCTTGATTTTTAAGGTCCGTAAATCCTGATATTGGTTAAGTTGTCCAGGTAGTTGGACGTGCATCTTTTTTTGCTTGATAAAACGTGCCAAAAAAGTGAGCAGGCTGCAGACACGCTTTCACATTTCTGTCTATCCCTGCTGCTGAGAATTTCGTTGGAATTCCCATAGGCGGAAGTTACCAGTTTATAAAGCTGCAGTTTTAAAATCTGCCTGAATTCTCTAGGAAACTGGCTTGGAGTAAATGTTGGTGTGTGGAAGTAGGATTTTTTTTTGTCTCTTCTGTAATTGACGAGAGAAGGACATCTAGTGGTTGATGTGTAACGAAGCTTGTATTTTGAAATGAGAAACTGTTACCCTGTGGGCATAAGACAAAACAGCTTTTCTGAAAAGCTCTTCAGACAGAAAACTGAGTTGCCTCTGATTTCAAGGGGATTGTATTAAGTACTGTATTTTTGGAGGGGAAAAAAAAATTAATGCTTTTCTCAAACTTTGTTTTCAAGGAGTTCATCTCTACTATGTTGGTGGGGAAGTCTATGCTGAGTGTTTAAGTGACAGCAGCATATTTGTACAGAGCAGGAACTGCAACTACCACCACGGCTTTCATCCAACAACTGTATGCAAGATTCCTAGTGGATGCAGCCTGAAAATCTTTAACAATCAGGAATTTGCTCAGCTTTTAGCTCAGTCTGTCAACCATGGATTTGAAGCAGTGTATGAGCTCACCAAAATGTGCACCATTCGAATGAGTTTTGTAAAGGTAAACAAATTATTTTGAGAGGCATTTAAGCTTACTGTGGATTTCAGTAGTCAGCAGACTGTGCCAATGTAACAAAGCTATTTTGACCTCATACGAGTCTTTTCAATTTAAAATATATTGGGAAGGTTAATTATGGAAAGGGAAATTGATGCAAGAAAAGCACAGCTTGTCTTGTTAACTATTGCCTGTATTTACTTCAGTATTCAGGACATGATTTTAATCATTGTAGCTACTGTTAAATTACGAAGGGAGGTCTGGACTTGTGCACTGAAGTTGAATGAGCAAAGCTAGCTAACTACACAACCCCTAAAAAAGCCAGTGTGGGTAAAGAGGAGCATAAGTGATTACAGAACAGGTGTTCAAACTTCAGACACTTCATATAAATAAAGATACATAACCGCATTTTCAACGTGGAGAAAATACACTGTTTAACAGGACAGTTTGACATTACAGATTTATTCTCATAGTAGTGTTTCCTCAAATTGGCTGCCAGTTTCAGATTTAGCTTGAAGTTCAGGCTTGTGCCATCCAGATTTTTTGTCTGTTGGTTTTTTTCATCTTGTCCAAAAAGAAAGCTTGAAATGATGTGTTCAGAGTTAAAGTGAAGTGTACTAGGAAGTCTTTATACCACAGATATAAATAGACTTGTTGAAGTCAGTACAAATCACTAGATCTTGCCTCAGGGTACCCCAGCTGTTAAATACTGAGTATACAAAGAGCTGCTTTTCTGAAATTGTTGAAATTTTATCTTGCCAATTGTGATAAATGCTGTTCAGATGGAGTGTGTGGAGGAAGAAGTAGAAAAGAACTGTAGCTAGATCAAGGAACTGCTTTGGAGTCAGCAGTCTGCTCTCCAAAGGAACTTGGATGGTGATGCTGGGCCTCTAGCAGGGAGGACTTGATTGAGGCTTCTGGGTGCAGCTTCTCTGCCACTCCTTTCTGACCTGCTGATTTTTGTTTTCTTGAGATGATAAGAATTGTTTAGATTTTGAGTTAACTTCAGATAAATTCCTTAGATGATGACTGTCTGCTAGATGCAGGCATGTTTTCTTGATTGATAACGTGGTGTTCATTTTTTGTAGGGGTGGGGAGCTGAGTATCACCGACAAGATGTCACGAGCACCCCGTGCTGGATAGAAATTCATCTTCATGGGCCCCTCCAGTGGCTGGATAAAGTACTTACACAAATGGGTTCTCCTCTTAATCCCATTTCATCTGTTTCATAGTGTTGAAATTCCATCTTCAGCCTTATTTTTAGTGAACTTATTCTAATTCTAGAGAAACTTCCAGCGTGGATACTGTGAGCTATATGGAGAATGGATCTTATGGTTTTACTTTCTTTTTTTTTTTTTTAAATCCCTTTGTGACCAATTCCATTGTGTATAGCTGAGCAGTTTTACATTTCAATTTGTTCTTGTGATGCTTAAGTGACAGTTGAGCCCTAAGGGAAAAAGAAAAAAAAAATCTATTGGAAAAATTCAGAACGCTTTTCCCCTCCTTGGAGTAGAATTTAAACAGGCATATGTCTTAACTGGAAATTATTTTTTGTCCTGTAGGGGCAGAATGATGAAGACTGACTTCAGAAAATAAATACATATCATAGTTCATTGTTTTTTTTTTAATGTTTATAAAAACGATTGAACATGTGCAGCTCCAGCTTGCAAGCTGTATTTTTAGTGTAGTTGCTTAACAAATTAAGTTTGACGTCTGTCATAAAGAAAATTAGGCTTTATTATGGCTAATTTGCCTAATTGAACAATGTGACTTTCTTTAAATGTACACATGAAATATACTTTTTACAAATGTCGGACTGGTGTAAAAACACTTTGTCTATTGGAAAATGCTGTCATAAACACATTGTATATGAATGCAGAATAGCAGTTCTTAGTCTTTTCCCACTTCAGTTTTGTACTATTGCTTTTAACCACCATTTTAAATAGTAACTGATACAAGGTAAACATCTTGCACGTTTCTGGAGTAGTGATTTTTGTTTTTCTTTGACTTACACTCATGCCATTTGGATGTGGTTGCCAAGGCCTATTTCTTTTTAGGTACCCTGCTCTATTTTAACATAAACACTAGTATTTGTAAATGGCAGTGCCTTGCTATTTTTTCGAAGGAGTAAGTTGTTTTTTTTAATTTTCTTTTTGGTGTTTTAGCTGTTTATTTTGCCTGTCTGGAATTGATCTGTGTTAAGCCTTTTAATCTCTCAGTAGTCATTATGCAGTATTAGTGATTACACTGTATTTAATTCACTTTCAGTATGAGTTTGAGTCTCTTTGAAGGCTGCGAGTGGCTTAGCAAATTAGTAAATGAATGCAGAAGCTCTTCCTTCCAGATCATGTAATTTAATACAGGCCTGTTGTTAATGACCAAAAGCAATCACTTCTTTTGTAGGTGAAACAGTGATTCTTGAGCCTGTTCTTAGCGACAGGTGTTCGGTCAGAATACTTGTAATTGGCAGCTTTATGGAAATCAAGGACTGCATTAGTATGAAATGTATCTTTTTGTAAGGAATTACATTGCCTCTGCTGTTGTATTACTCAAACACTGTACTAAACACTAAAAGAAATCAGCTCAGTAACATACGCGTAGTTTTCCCCTGTAAAAGTAAAAACGATTGAAGGAACATTCTAAGAGAATTAGAAGTGAGTTATACAAAATCCATTTGCATGCAGAAAAAGACCTACTGTTAGTTTTAACTCCTCCATTTTCCTGGATATCTTTTCAGGACAGGGTGCAGTGTCTGGGGGAGAGACTGAAACCTCTGAAATGCAAACACTTATTAAAAGATGTGCTGCAGTTAACTACTGCAATCCTGAGACGTTGATTGCTTACACAACTTCTTTTGTCTTCTATTGAATGACATTTTCTGCTCAAATGTGGAAATCATGCATTATATGGTACCTGAGTAAGAGATCATAAAGGAAAAAAATTGTTTACGTGTCATTAAAATGTTTCTTATGAAATGCCTTAAAGGAATAAACTGTAACACTTCTGCAGAACCCTCATGTTCTCTTGTACAGGTATTTCTGTAGTACTTGGTGATTTTATTGTTGGTTTGTTGTCTTTTTTTGTTGTTGTTCTTGTTGGTTTTTTTTTTTTTTTAAAGCAATTTCTTCAGTGTGTGTTAAAGCGAATGTGCATCTTCAGGAGAAGGGAGGAAAACAATATTTGCCACTCACTTCTGGGGTCTTCTCTTTCATTCTTCGAAACAGCAACCCTGTTGACTGAATAAGATGCAAAGTCACTTGGCCACAGGATCAGGCTTCCCATTTTCCTCTCCCCGGGCCCGACTTCTATCAAGTTGCTGAATATGTATATTTGACACTACGGATATTTTTCTTGACGAGCTTTTAAAATGAATGTCTTGGCACATTGGATCAAAGAAAGATCTCAGTTGTAGGTACAAGCTTCTGCTTTATCCAAAATGTTTTTCACCCGGCTTCACCTCCGCTCACTTGTTTGGATGCGGCTGACTAAAGGACTGAAGAATGGGCGCTGGAAGTAGGTGTTTGCAAGTCAGAGCTGCTGTATTGTGGTTAGATTGGCTACCCATGCAATGAAGCATAATTTCTGCAGTGCTCTCTAGCTAACCCACTTCTGATGCTGTCATTAAGTATTAAAGTACTCTGGCATTTCTGTGCTTGTGTACATACTCTTGATCTGTAATATATGCAGTGCTGAGGTTATCCTTGCGGCTGCTGATTTTGCCAGGGCAGGCTTGCAGGAGCAGACCAAGTAAACGATTTGCCTACGCTCTGCTTTTCTGTTCTTTTTAAGTAGGACTTATTTTTGAGAGCTTCTTGGTTGATGTGCCTACTGGTTCATGGTGTTCCTGATCGCATTTGGTTTGTCTGTGCTGCCGATGGAAAGGTGAGATAGTGCTGCATGGATAAGTTGGATGAGAACTGTTTGACACTAATTACGTTTTAAGTGTAGTGATAACAGAGATTGCTGCTTCTGTTGCAGCGTGCTTGTGTGTAAGTCACTTTATCTAGATGGAGGGATGGAGAAATGAAATCAGCCAGTAGCGTGGTAGTGGAAGATGAAGCATTATATATAGCCCAGCTTAGACTAAGTGTTACTCTGCAGCAAAAACTGTTTTGGCTTTTATAAGTGTAAGTATTTTCTTCTTTTAAGGCCTATTTCTACTTACAATCAAACACAGCACTAATTAACAGCTTTGACAATACCAGCAAGGAGCCTGGAACAGGCATACACTGAAGTTCTTTCTGGGTTTCCTTTCATAGTCACTAAGATAAGATCTGATCTTGGATATTCCTCCTCTGTGGGCATCAGTCTTGCTGGCAGTCAGACCAGCGCCTTGGGGAAGTATTGCATTGGTTTCATTACATCAGACATCAGATAGTTACTCATGGAGGGCTGGTGTTGGTTTATCGTATCTATAGGACCAAAATAAAGCTTCTAGTATGGCTGACTGATGAGAGACAATTAACAAAACATCCCATTAACTGAAACAGTGACGGAGTAGCCTACACACTGATTCTGTGTAGAGCTGTTTAAAATACTGGAATGCTTTCATTTTTTGCATGAAGCTATGGCTTTTTTTTCCCCACAGTATTACAGTGTGTAAGCTGTCAGTTGTCAGATACTCTTACAGTGTACATCCAGACAGACATTGAAATATTTCAAGCTTTCCCTTTAGTTTGAAATGTTTTGGGGTTTTTTTGTATATTGTTTTAGTTATCCAAAGTACAGCTAGTGATGGTCTTAAAACAACAAAGCAGTTTCTAAACATTTTGCTTCAAAAGACAAATGTGACTTTTTGTGGTTGTGAAGTTGCTGTTTAGGAAGGAAACCCATCCTGAATTCGAATCAATAGACCAAACCATCAGATCACAACGTAAACTTGCTTTATTGTGCTGCTCCATAAGCCTGCTTCTGTGTTTGTTGCAAGCATAACCTTTATGCTTTTGTTTACATTGTAGGAAACACAGTTCTAGTGATGAGGTTTTTCATTTAACTCTAAACATCTTTTTATTTTGTTAATTTTAAAATTACTAGGTTTTGCTATGTTATGTTTTTAAAGATTTTTTTTTTTTTTTTTTTTTTGCATTCTGCTGCTCGTATTTCAATAAACATACAAAAAAAAAAAAACCAACAGATTTTTTTCTGATTTTCTTCTTCTCTACCTCATTATGTGCTGAAGTACTTATTTACAAGTGTTGGTTCTTGTAACTCTCCAGCAGAGTTTTTTTCCTACAGATGTGTAGTGAATGCTTACATCTCTGTGAGTAGCTAGCTGAAACAACCATGGAATTGCTCTTTTCTCTGTTTTGGTGTGGAGGAATTGGAGGGTGGGAGGGGGGGTGGGGGGGGGGGTGAATATTTTTTTACTTTAAAAGCAGAAAAGCTTTGGGCAAATCCCAGCTCCTGTAGCCACCAGTTTGCATTGTGTGTTATAAATGAGTCAGAGGCTCCTTCTGTTCACTGTATGCAGAGACAAATGCAAATATCTACCTGGCTTTTAAAGCAATAACAAAGCAATAAGGTGTTGGGTGTCGTATGCTGGGCCAAGAGAAATGTGCCTGCCTTGCCTGGAGTTCTCTGTCCTGGTGATCCAAGGACCATCCATTCCCTGACATCTTCCCAAGGAATTCTGCTTGCCTAGAAGAGCTGTTGCAAAGAAACTACTTTTGCTGCAGGTGTTCTGGGTGTGTTAGTGCTGCTGCTGATCCATCTGGCAGGACGTGGGTCATGAAGAACATCTCTGAAGTTTCATACGGAAGCCAAGTAACGTGGAATCAATGAAGTTTGTTTAGGGAGCTCGCCACTTCAATGACATACTTGTATCACTGAATTCTGCCCTTCACTGGTGATGTGAGCTGTGTGTTTGTGACAGATGATTGTGTGATGGAGTGGGGCAAGTTAGAGCAGAATCCGTGCTAGTGTATTCCACCTGCCGTTGTTAGAAAGCTCTGCTGTGTGTTATCTACTGTGTTCTCCAGACACTGTAGTATAGAAAAAAAACTTGGGCCGCATGATGATGACTGGCTCCAATCCTGAATTCTTAAACACTGTTAATCTTCTGACTTGCGATGCAGAGCCAGCTGTCTTCTGTGCGCACTAAGGCATTTGTAACGAGTCCCAAAGTACCTGTAAATTGCCAGCCACTCAGCTATGTGTACATGCTTTTAGGTACTGCATCATCTTACTGCTCGATTAGTATTGGCAGGAGGAGTTTGTGCTGATGGGTGCTCTGCAATTCAGCCAGCGTTGGCACTTTGTGTTGATAACATTCAACACAATCATTCCCCTCAAGTTTTGGATAGCTGCATATAAACTTCTAAGCAAAGAAATGTCATCCTGTGCGTTTTTATCATATAGGAGGGGCAGAGATGGTTGTCTGTAGCTCAGTGCTGTGGATTTTCACTCCAGCTGCTGGCACATGCAGTAGGAAGCAGAGGAGTAGCTTATCCGGACTGATAAACGCAGCCTGCTTGAGCTGTGGAGAGGAGGGGCAACATTTGTGCCATCTGCCTTGCATCTGCCCCTAGACCTCCCAGTGTGCTGTGGGAACAACAGAAATCTGAAACTCGGAAAACAATTGCTGCCTAAAGGGCGTGAGGCCATTGCATAAACTGCTGAAATCCACGTGCAGCGCTGATGTCTTGTTTCTGCTTCCAGGTACTTCAATCAGGCATCCTTTTTGGTGGCTTTCCAGTTCCTGCACGTCACAACTGGTGCCCTTTAGGCTTTCAAAAACAGCGTTTCCCCTTTTCCTCCTTTTATGTGTTGTGCTCTTGCCACGTGAAGACAACAGCTGTGCTGTCCACGCAGCGTAGGACACTTCTCTGCAGAAAACCCACGTGGTGGGATTGCTGATACACTGGGGACAATGGCGTATCGTGCCTTGAGGATGGGATACCTAGTTTTTGCAGGTGGACTGAAACATGCAGCCTGGTTTTTTTTTCTGTCCTGTATTTCTGTATTTAGTCGTATTTTCCTTTTAAACTAACTATCCAGAGAGACCTCCAGAGTGCAGTGCAGAGGAGCTACTCTCATGGTGCCTGGTAAGAAGGCAGCCTTCAGCTGATTGAGTTCTAGTAGTGCTTTTGTATTAAAAGAGGGAGCAGGCCTTAAAAGAAAACTTGGCCTGTGCACCAACATAAAATACCCATGTGAGACACGCTTCAGCATTTTACAACTTCCAGGCAGTTTGCATCAAATTCTTCTTTGAATACATTCTCGTTAACTGCCTTATAGGGCCCTATGTTGAAACGTGCTGTAAAAATACTTCTGTAAACAACATACTTTATTTTTTGTTTTTTTTTTTTAGCTCTGAGTGCAAGCACAAGGGAAGGTCTGGATTGCTATCCTATTAATTCTGCTGTTCTCTGCTTCTCAAGGTATGTTGGAGGCTGCAGATTCGTTGGCTGGTAAATGCTGTTGGAGGACAATGGGGATCCAGGTGAAAGCAAAATATTCCTTCCAAAAATCAGGAGGCAGGAAATCCAGAGTCCACAGATATGTCAGGCAGCATGCTTATTTTTGCTGTTTTTAATCCCTTCGCTGCTGTCTTAAACTTGTGCTCTATTGACAGATGGCCAGAAGCCAGCAGCACAACTGCCCCATGTCCTGATTTGTGGTGAGGTGCTTATACCTGATGCAGTGCGTGGCTGGGCAAACTGCAGTGAGCAGCTGTGCATGGATGTCTCTGGAAGGAGCTGTAAGCCACTAGAAATATTCCATGGAACTCAAGAAATGAAGATGGTTCCATTAAAAAACAAACAAACAAAAACAAACAAACAAAAAAAAAAAAGTGAGAGGCACAGTATTCTCATTTATTCAGTACATTCTGATGTGCTAGCTGCTGTGTTACTATGGATGTGTATGATGGAAAGACTGCTAATGGGACAGAGCGGGTGTCTGTAGGGCTGGTTTATCACTGGTCTGTCAGTCTGTATTTAATTCTTGGACTCCTTGTCTTGCCTGGCTGCTGTCAGAAGGATTTTCAGAGGTGCTGTGCTGGAGGCAGCGAAGCAGAAGGCAGCAGTCAGGGTGCCCATGGACTACCAGGTGTCCATCTGCCTCCTGCTTGAGGTCGGAGGTGGGTTTGGTAGGACAAAGCCACTGCTCAAGGAGTGCTCTGAGCAGCTCTAGGGCAGGGGGCTGCTTGTGCAGTGATGGTGTCATAAAAATTCTGTGGGTCCCTTACTGTGTGCTGGCAACATAAGAAGTCTCATACAGCAGCTGGTTTAGATTGCAGTGGTCCTTGCAGGCAGCCATTCTTTGTTCTGCCCCTCTGTAGCCCCTTGCCTTTACTAAGAGGAGGCAGGTTACGCTCCAGTGTTGGCAGTGATATTTAGTAGCAGATTGGTATCTTTAGAGATGGAGAGGATAAATGGCGTCTCCTCCTCTTTTTCCCCCCGTAAAACATTTGGGGAGGGGGAGGGAACCAACAAAATAACAAACCTGACAGCTCTGTTATTCTAAGAACAGGAGTTTTCTTCTTTATAGACTTTTTCCATTCTCTTTTTGAAGTTGTACCTCTCCTGTTGTAAACAACGTGGTTATTTCTAGGTCTAAATAAGAAACGCTGTGTAATACTGTCATTCCTGTGAAATCTCATTTTCTGAAGCCTCTTAGACCCAGGGATGGCTCTCAGCAAACGTACCAGCCTCTCAGAAACCTTGAGCTGTGGGAGTGAGTTAGACTTCAGCTGGAATGGAGAAGTTGTAGGGATAATGCAAGACAAAATAGACCCTTTTCTGTAAAAACCACATAGAGAATCTGAAGTGTTCTGTAAAAGATTGGTGTTGCAGTCCTGGAAGGTCAGAAGGGAACAGATTGTGTCCATGGTTGTGCCATAATGCTGGGCTCAGCCCTGTGTGTTGGGATGGGGCATTGCTGGGAGGGTAAAGAGGGAGAGGGAAGGAAAAAACTTGGAAAAACACAAGTGTAACCTCCTGCTTAAGGGACTTTCTGTTAGGATTAGCAGATGTAAAGCAAACTTATCTGCTTATATCTGAAGTACGTGGTATAAGCTCAGGATCTTGAGTTAAGGAGAGGAAGAGAGCAAACGCCTACAACCAAATGCCCAATTCGAGATATCTTTCTCTTTTCAGTCTGATCTCTCTGCTGATGTTTTAAATGTTTCAAGTACCTTGTGGAAAAGGCTGGGAAATCAAGATTGTGCTCTACCCAACTCTTCGTTGGAATCCCTCTTTATAAGCTTGGAAAGCGAGGAAAAGAAATGCCTTGGTAGATAGGGGTGTAACTGCAAAGCAACTATTAAATTCTCACTGTTCTTGGCATTCGCTCATGGCTTTGTGCCAGTCCCCAGCCTCCCTCCTTTTCTCCTCCCAATGAAAAGCTTCATCTTTCCTAATGAAAGCTGAGTTGAGGAGCCCTGTGGTGGTGATTCCTGTCTTCAAGTGATGTCCTGGGATGAGAGCTCTTCATTTCTCTCCAAGACGCTACTAGACTCAAACTCATTAGCGCAAGTACCGTAACGAATTGGTGGGACTCTCATGGTTTGACACCAATTAGGAGAGCGTGGTCATGCAACACCGCCCTGCAGTTTGCTTTACCATGCAGCACCAACCTGAGGCATCCTTAATAGAAGTGAGGTACTTAGATTTTGTGTTTATTTTTTGCTTGTTGCATTGTTTACTTTAATGACAGCCTTGTGAATCCTATCAGGAGTCCTTCCCAGCTGTCAGCAGTGATGGAAGTGTAGAACATGCTCAACTCCTGGTTTTTGCATAGGGGAAAGGGAAAAGCAGGAGGATGGATGTCCATAGAAGTGCCCACCCCAATCCATTCGCACCTGGGAAAAGCAAGAAAAAGGATGGGTCCTTTTGGGCTAAGAACATTGGTGTCTAGGGAGAGCAACAGGGTAATTAATAACAATCAGAACCACAGAATGGTTGTGTTGGAAGGGACCTCACAGCCCCAGCCCACACAGTGCTGGCTGTCCCCAGCTCAGGCTGCCCGGGGCCCATCCATGACTGTGGGCACCTCCAGGGACGGTGCAGCACAGCTCTGGCAGCGGTGCCAGTGCCTCAGTGTCCTCTGAGTGAAGTCTTTCCTTGCAATATCAAACCCTCTGTTACTTTAAAGCCATTCCCCATGCCCTCTCGCTATCAGACCCTGTAAAAAATCAGTCTGCTCCTGTTTATAAGCTCCTTTTAAGCAGAGATGTTTTCTTTGCATCTATTTCATGTATAGCTTAGAATAGCATTGATGGAGCTTTCTTCTGCAGTTGATGTCATTCCTTTGGGAGCATTGCTCCAAGTATTGCGCTGTGGGGGGAAAATATGGTTATTCCAGGGTTATTCTAGAGCATTTTAATAAAGGAAAATGTACAGTATGGTGCAATGCAACATGTGTTCTATCAGGTTCTGAGGGTTTTGCCAGCAGGAATTTTTAGACCAAGCTCGTTATGGCTGATAGATGAAAACAAGCTGTCATTACTTAAAAATAAATGAGAAATGGCTGATTTGATAAAAACTCAATTTATTCAAAATGGGCTGAGATAAACACGCTTGAATTTATTCTTTATTTCTGCATTAGAATAATTGTTTGGAATTACACCAGTGAAATTTGGTTCGGATGAGATAAAAATTGGCCACCTGTCAAGGAATAAAGTATTTCGGGCTGCTCTGTGGTAGGCTTCACTTTTTTGAGTGTAACAAAAGATGGTAACCAAGGCAGTGACTTGGAAGTATATCAACTGTGCAACTTCTTTGTATAAAAGCTCGCTGTCAGGGCCCAGGTATGTTCATGTCTCTGTCCCACGTGCTTGTGTGTCACTGCACCATAGCATCTCCTCATTTGGATGGAGTCCTTTACGTGCATGTGTACACACAGCACTTCTGCTGCACTCCGTGTGATAAGGACGCATTGAGGGCCGCAGTTCTGGCACTGCACGAGCTCCTCTCCTTTGCTTGGAGGTCCACGTGCAAAAGTGGGAGTAGAAGTTGGTTTTAAGGGTGTGTTTCTGGCCGTCTGTGATTCAGCTGTGCGTGGAGACACTGCGGCTGAGGAAGCAACCAGAAAAGAGCCCTTTGCCCGCTGTGGGAACATGAATACTGTTCTGGGGTTTGTGCTGTGTGGTCTGTAATTATGGCACTCTAACTGCAAATTTCCTAAAAACTGTCATCTATTTAAATAGCATGCCAGCGAAGGTGAAGCAGGAGTACAGCTTCTAGAACAAAACCAGATTGCTAATTAATCTAAACCAGTGTATGTTACCGTTAACAAGTGGTGAATCAATCATGCTGTTGCCCTTTTGATGAAGCATGCTCCTGACTGCCGGCCTTATGGTGACAGCAAGGAGTGGCAGTACTGCCATGGAGCAGCTCCTGCTGTAACACAGTGGCTCTCCAAAGTTATCTGCTGCTTGTACGGAGCTCGGAGCGCTCTGCTCTCCCCTTTCATTAGTTTACATACGATTAATGATGCTTATTTTCTCTCCTTCCTTCTCTCCATCCTGATTATTTTGGTTTCATGCCTTGGCGAGCAATTTCCTTTGCAACTTAAGGAAGTTGAAAACGAGTTACTCAGGTATTCAGTGGTTCCCATAGCTGGCAGCGACTTGAAACCCGACTGAAGATGCAATAAAACACCACCACCACCCCCAGCAGCATCCCACTCAAAACCTAAACCACCGTTTCTGGTTTTCTCCTGCCAGGCATGGCTCCCATTGCGTTACCGAGCGATTCAGCAGCAGTGGAGAGAAACGGGTCTGGAAAGTAAACTCTGGTCTTCAGAGTGGAGCTGTTAGGTAAATACGCTGTGTTTTACATTCAGTGCTGTGATTTCATAAACATGGGTAGCAAGCTGCACCAGATGCACAAATCAGAGATTGCTGTTAATGCAAATGTCCTTCTATGGGCACTGAATGGGTCGGTGATGACATTTGCATACATATAGCGCTTAATCTGGAATCGGGGGGCAATTTCCTTTTTGCTCCGATCAATTTGCCAATGCGTGGTCTCTCCAGTTCGTCGTACAGCCTTTTATTTACAGCTATTCCCATTGCATACGGCGTCTCTTTCAGCAACCTTTCCCCGCGGCGCAGCCTATTATTTTAAGGAGGGTCGAAGCCACCCGCTGCCATGCGGACGAGAAAGCTGTGCTGCACAACGCTGCTGCTCCCTGCTGCTGCTGGAAGACGCTGTTTTCCTCCTCGTGTCACACAGCCTGTGTCCTCCACGGGCTCCTCGCTTCCCGGAGGGATCTGTCGTAAGGAAGAGTAGCAAAAAAAGAATTTTTCAGCTGGCAGTTAATGAAGAGCACGATGAGTGTCACAGTCAAGAGCAGAAAGAAAAAGAGGATGATGTAAGTCACCAGGTCGGGCTTGTTGATCTCGCCTTCTTTTAGCACCCTGGCTGTCGACATGTAGAAGGCGGAGGAGCTGACGGGTCGCTGCGTGCTGCCCAGGTAGGGAGTGTTGGTCTGAAGGATGAGGTGAGCTTCGGTGGCACTGGTTGAGTTTAGCAATTCACTATACATGTTCTTGCTTAAATTTCCTCCACGGTCGAAGTAAAGAACGAGAGCACACACAGTCACTGTTTGGCATAGGGAAGGAAGAATATTCCCGCTTGTAAAATCCTGACAGCGAGACACATTTTGCCTAAAAGTAAAACCAAATTACTCCCCAAGCCGTGCGAGGGGATTTGCTCTTAAATCTCCGTGGCTCATATTTACAGCATTCATCCACAAGACATAAATCACAACCGGCGCGGGTACCTCGGTGCCGCTCTCGCCTGCGGGCGCATGGAGTGCGCAGCCCTCGGACCTGGTCTGGGCTGTTGGAGCCCTCGATGCCGTCCAGGGGAGGGCACGGCGGCTCTCCGGGTGCTTTTCCCCACTGGAATGGAGCCTGGGTTAAACGGGATCCGCGGATAGAGGCGGTTGAAGCGTTGGCATCCCGCTGGGTTCGCTGTGTTCTCCCCCGGGATCCTGCCCGCTGCCGGAATCCCGGTGCATGAGTTGAGTTTCTTAATCCCGGTTATCAATGCTCTGTGTAGCTCCCGTTCCAAGGCTGGGCTTGCTGCTTTCCAAGCATTTCTTTTCGCTTTGAGGGAAGAAAAAAAAAAAAAAAAAGAAGAAAAGAAACAAAACACAACAAACCAAATGAAAAGGAAAAAAAAAATCTCTCCAACGTCCCTTTGTTTTTTTAAAAAAATAGAAACAGCAAAATTCTCCCTGTAAATCAGAGGGGAGAGAGGATCTTTGGAAACCTCCCCTCTGCCCTCACCTCAGCCGCGCTGCGGAGCGGGACTGGGCAGGATGGTGCCAAACGGGACTTTTCCTTCTGCCGGAGCTCCTCCGCAGCGTCACTCTGCCGGGAAGGGAGGGAGCGCGATGTGTCTGCCGGAGGCACCGTGCTGAGCGACGAGAGATCCTCCGAGCAACCCCAGTGTGAGCCCCAGGCTGCGGGGAGAGGTTTGGAGCTGGGGGAGGGCAGCAGAGAATGGGACGAAAAGAAGGCGACGGCATCAAAACCTTTGTTGTTTTTTTTTTTTTTTCCCCTTCTTTTTTTCCCCCCTCTCTCAAATCTCTATTGTTAAAATTGATCTCTTTAGCGCAGAAAATGCCTTTTCTTTTCTTTTTTTCTTTCTTTCACACGGGCCCCGGCACCCTCTCCAGCCTGACAATTAGCATGTTAATTTTTTTCATCAAACTGCCTTTACGCCGCTATTAGCTGCTGGCTGCTCGCCAGCCTGCGCTCACCCCGTCGCATCAGATAAGCGCGGTTAATGCTTCCTTTTAACTCGCCCTGATTTGGGGCAGCGGCGAGGAAGGGGTACAGAAGGGCAGGGGAGAGAGGAGTGCAGGGGAAATCGACGGCAGGAAGCACCCGACGCGTTCTCTCCATCCCCGGGGTACCCATCCAAGCAAACGTGAAAGCTGCTTATGTTGAACTATTGCAGCCGGCTGTCCAGGGAGGTTAAACATTTCAATTAGCATAATAAATGTTTCTGCTAGGAAAGAGGGAGAAATCCCCACGTCAGGCAGATTTAAATCAAAGGGAATGGAGGCTCTGCTAGGAGGCAATGCCCTTGTGCAGCCTGTTCCTATCTGCTGAGCTCCAGGTACCTGCTGAGCCCTTGTGCCCTCCTGGTGGCACGGCTGAAGGCTGCTGTCAGCTCACAGCTCCGTTCCCCATCCTGCTCCCATCACCAGAACAGCCCATACCTGCTCTTTGCCTCCTTGCTTTGGGTCAAGATGTGAATTTGCAGGGCGATGTTCCTCCAAGGTTTTGCTGGGTTTTCTTTTCTTTTTTTTTTCTTTCCCCCTTTTACAGCCAAAGGAGCAGACTTTTCCCCGTGCCCTGGTTTATTTCCCCATCTTTAACCCCAGAACTGGGCACCGTGGTGGCTCCTCCTGGGACCATTCCCCCTGTCCACAGCGCGGCCGTGGTTACCCATATTTACTCTGTATGGGTTCAAAGAGCAGCGCGGAGAGGCAGGCAGCCAGCACAGGGGCTGGAAAAATCAACAGAGCCATAAAAAAAGCTGGTGCAGCTCCTACCTGTCCTACCTATGGTGTCTCCTTGCAGCCAGAGCAGCACTGAGCAGTGCAGAACATGGATGGTTGGAGGTCTGCGTGTCTTCCCAGCACCCTGCCCTCTTCCTCCCTGAACTCTGGTTGGCCTTAACCAAACTTTGCATCCTTTGTTTGTTTACTTTATTGGTTTTATTAATCCAGTAGGAAAAGCAGAGAGGCAGCCAGGGGCTGAGTGCTGAAAATAGCAAGGATTGTCTTCGTGTTTCACGTCTTTCAGCCCAAAGCTCATTAAAATGGCTTCTCTGCCAACTCCTCAAAAATGCCACGATGGATGCACAGAAATGTTGCATTAGAGGAGCGCTCCTTTTAACCACTAGAGTTGTCCCCAAGGCTGAAGGGACAGCCTGAACCCCATCTATCCACTCCTGCTGGCATACAGGTTCCACATGGAACTGGAACATTTTCCCTTTTCCTCCTACAAAACGTTATCTCATGCTCTTTCAGGATTTGTTTTCTGCCATGGGGATACAATGGCTCAGTGCCATGGCTTCATGTTCATGGTTTTGGATTGAGAATCGTTGCTAATGGTCACGGTGTGAGCGCTGGAATAAATCCCTGGGTGTTTTACAGCTGCCCTGAGTGCACGCGGGCTGTGGGGTGGGAAAAGCTCCTCCTGCTTTTGCCTGTCTGTCTGATATACAAAGGGATGAGAAGCTCTGGGAGTAGTAAATCAGATGTGGTTTCGGCAGCTCCGTATCCAGGCTTCATCTCAAAAAAACCCTGAATTGCTATAAATAATACTTTAATTGCAAAAAGTAAGAGCTGATCCTTTCCCCTTGTTTTTCTTAGTTTGGAAGCTCATTTAAAGTCCTCTGTTCCTTGAAATTTTTACACGCTAATTTACTTTGTAGCTTTGTTGTTATTTTTTCTTGTTTCCTTTTACTTTTCTTGAAGGTTTTCAGCATTTAATGACTTGTTTGGGTGAGATTGTAACATGTGCTGGAAACGGTGCTGCAAGGACACACGTGGAGCCTCCAGCAGTGACTGAGTTAGCTGTGTAATGAACCTCTCAGTGCTGTGGCTTCCTGGCTCCCCTGGGATCTGGGTCAGTGTAACTATGGGGGTGAATCCTGAAAGGTCTTTGTTCTTCTGAGCACCATTTAGGTGTTGCTTCCAACCCAAGCCATCTTATGATTCTGTAGTGACTCGGTGGTTGTTCTGGCCACACCATGGTCCACTTTTGCCATAGCACAGCCAATGCTGCCACAAATCGCTTGCAATTCAGTGCTTGGCCCTATCAGCTAACACTCTCCTGGTGACTCGGACCATGCTGTTAGCTTTAACAACCATCAGCCAAGCTGCAAACAAGCAAGATGCAAAACACAAAGAGTGACCAGTGCTTGGGGTTTGGTTGTGCAGTGGACTGCTGGAGCCTTTCCCTATTTCCAGCCTGGTAAATAATGCATGATCTGTCTCTTACATGCTTACTCAACCCCTACCACGATAAAAATCAACCGAGGGAAATGAGAGTGGAAAGGAGCATTATCTTTCCCAGTAATGCAACCATTTACAATCTGTTACGATCCTTCTGCTGAGGAGTAAGCGGTGGTGGAGGAGTTTGTTTCTATTAGCAGACCAGAAACCATAAATCAAGGGCTGTAGTTTTCCAATGTCACGTACAAGCAGCCTTAAAGCCCTTTAAAAAAAAAAAAAAGAGAGAGAGAGAAAATGGAAATAACTTCTGTATCTATCTATCTATCTGTATATATTTTTAATTGCTCTGGGGTAATCTAGGCACACTTATTTTGTGTGCCTAAGTATCAAATACCAATGACTGTATTTTCCAATGTAGGATCTTAAAGCTAAGCAACAGACACCTAAAGAGAGGGTGCTGCCTTTGGTGCTTAAAAGCAGATCAGAATGCCTGAGAAAATTGGCCCAAGTGCAAACAAGTGTGGAAAATCTTTTATTTCTTAAGAGCGTGTTTGTCATATTTAAAACTGAGCTCTAACGTGGCATTTCTTGAGGTCTGTTCTCACCAGCTGAAACAGAAGCATCTAAAAAGCATCCAGAAAGGTCTGCGGATCCAATGGAAATGGGAGCTTCTGTGCATTTCCTCAATGCTCTGCCTAAATCTTCTACTCTCCAGTGGTGAGGAGCCTCTTGGTTGGCCACAGCACCATTCCAAGGAGGGAAGAATCACCCTGCCCTTCTGCCAGCCTGCTCAGCTGTGGCTGCTGTGTTGGGAGTTTTGGTCAGGTAGGACTGTTTTGGGAAAGGGGTGAACCCTCAGCCAGGAATCTTTCCCTGGCATCCCCCTGCTCTCCCCTATATTCATGTGGAATGAGAGGAGAATCATTAAGGGAAGCTTTGCAGATCATCGTGGGGTGTCTGACTGGTGGAGCTGTCTGTACTTTTATTGTTTCTTGTTTCTCGTACAACATCCTAGTGTTGGAAACTGCTCCTCCTGTTCTGCGTGGTCAGTCAGTGTCTGCTTCTCTCAGTGAATTACAGCTGGGGCAGGTGAGGTTTCTCTTTCTTCTCTGATTATTGATTTTTGCTTTGCATTTTAAGTTATTTCTTGTGACCCCAAGTAGTCTGGAAGAACCAATAAACCTGGGTGACCCCCAGACCTGCGTGTCTGTTCTGTACAGAAGGGAGGCACACAGACCAAGCCTGCTATTGCTCTGCCCACACTCAGTGCAAGTGGCCTATTCTGCAACCCACTTGTTTGTTTGAGAAGTGGCCTTGATGCTACTTCCTGACACTGCAAAGGTCCCGAGCATTCGATACAGAGGGTGGCAAGGTGCTCCAATGCAGTAAAATAAGAGCAAAGAACCAGGCTAAAATAGGGTGAAAATTTTCCCCCAACCTTGTAGCAATTGATCCGAAATCTCCATCTCCAATGGTGTTGGTGATCTTCTGCAAGTTCGAGAACCATAAACTCTAACAAGTTTGAGCTGCGAGCCCATTGCTCTAACACAGCATCTTTGCCCCAGATAGGAAGTCCTCTCCTCCAGGCACCATCAGGGCTTGCTGTGTGCATGCCTCCCTGCTTGTGTAATTGAGCAAATACAAAGCATAGGTATTGCACAGGGTCAGCTGTTGATTATTGCTCCTGGTGTGAGCTAAGGCTGCTTACAGCATCAGCTCAGCAATATTGTTCACACAGACGGTGCTAACTCCTGGGCCCTTGGGTATCTTTTGGTGGTAGGAATCAGATAAAGTGGAAGAGCAGCACATCACCCTTCTCAGGGCAGGCATAAATTTCAGAGGCTAAGCTAAACTGTATTTTGGGAAGTGCCAGGCTGTGTTGCTGGCGACTGCTGGAAGGTGCACTTCCACCTACGACCCCAAAAAATTAAGGGAAAACCAATCGTGGTGTTCCTCAGCAAGCTGGGGAGGAGCTCTGATGTTTAATTGTGTGCTGCTTGGTAAAGAGGAACAGCTTTATAGTTTCTGATTTATCATTAATAGCAGTCTGACTCAACAGATCACACTGCCAGTTCTGTTCAGTTTAGAGGTCTTCTCAGTGCTAAAATAGAACCTATGGCAGCACACAGAGAGCATCCCTGGGGATGCAATGGGAGCAAATGGGCAGGGATGGGGCTGCCCCATCTGCTCTCACCTCGTTTGCTTTTTTGCTTTTAATGTATGTTTGCCCAAAAAGGAAGAAAAAGATTGATGGTCCTCTATGCCAGGTTTCTGTGTCTGGTTATTCCTTCATCTGTGGTAGAATCCTGGAGAAGGACGGGACGTCAGCTCTCTGTGTTTAGGTTCCATTTAATTTTACTAGGAAAAGCAAAGCTCAGCCAGCAGCATCTGCTGGAAGGGAAACCAACTGAGCCCTTTTTGGTTTACCTGTGAGCATGGCTGAGTTCTGTAGATACCAGCTTTTCACCTCTTCATTCTCTCTGGTGACCCTTTGGCTCTCTGTCTCTCATTGCCTGATGCAATTATCATTAATCGAGGCAAGGTTCCTGCCCAAAGCTGAGCAGCTCTGGCAGAGCAGCAGCAATGGAGCAGTGCTCCACAGAGGGAGGAGGCTCCTCTGCAAAGCACCAGCTGTGGTTGGAAAAGCTCATTGAATTCACTGGGAAAGAAAATCTATCAGCCCGTGACAAGGATTATTTTAATAACCTAAAATCTTATTGCTTCTGGAACATCTGCTCTTTGGTGGAGCAAACAAATAGGTTTTAATTTCATTGCCTTAACTTCATGGAAATAAATTTGAGAAGCGCAATAACCGATTATTAGTTGGGATAACAGCATTATCTTTTTCACATTGGTCACAAAAGGAAAACTGCAGGAAATACGAAGCTCATAGAAATACCTTCAACCTCAGACCCTTGAAATATCCGCATCTTAATACACCACAACTGGGAAAAGAGAACTTCACCTGACCTTGAAGTTTGCAGAGGAAAGCAGTCACCGAGTTGTTCCTTTGGAGGTGATGGGTAAGGTGGTGTTACTCAGTGACATTCCCTGTCTGTAGAGAGGCTAATGTATTCCCGTTGCATTTAATTAGTTTTGAACCTATGTACGTGAGAAATGCAGCGCAGTGCTGTTATTAAAATTCATGCTTTATAATAATTAGCACAGTTTGTTCAGTCCCTGAGAACTGCCAGCAAAAGGACTATTAACTCTGGTTAATGGTGGAAATGTCTCACCCGAGCTATCGTTTAACCCTTTGCTGCAGAAAAGTTGTGGTTATTCTCAAAGGCTACATCAGGCCAGCCATTAATTACCAAAACTCATTAATTGTAGAAGATTGGCTGCTATTAAATCTCTTTAATTGAACTTTTGCGATGATCAGTAGGGAAATGGTGACAAATACAGGCAGAACTGTCCCTTTTAAATTGCTGGTGTTTTATCTCTCATCGAATCCCTATCTGAAATAGGGGAAAATGACCAATAAGGTTCAGAAACTCTTTCTTCAGAAGATCAAAGTCATAAAACTCTGTTAATTCCCTTTGAGACAGAAATAGGAATTACAGTTAAGAGACTTCACCCCGTGACTTTTTCTTTCACGTTAAAACTCCCTAATTGTTCCCCAAATGCATCTCCCATTATATTCCACTGTAAACTAATTTGCTGAGCCATCAGGAACCCGAGAAAAATCTCTTAGTTAAAAACTGCCTCTTGCAAGAGCAGATGAAAAGCACAAATTCTGAAGAACCACAGTGATGCCTATTCCTCGTTCCCAGCAAACATGCCTTTGGTCTTATTTTTGGTAAACCTCGGCCTTGTCTTACAGTTCAGGACTCACAGTTGAGTGTTTACATTTCTTGAAGGCAATTTTACCTGGATTTTTTAAATCACTTTGGTGCCAGGTTCTTCCTAGAGCAACTCTCATTGCTTTGCTTTGTCTCACAGTGCTGGGTGGCTGCAATGTCACCAGTCTATGTGGCACCACTCCTGCAGGTAAGCACCTTCTCTGACAAAGTTCCCCTAGAAGCAGTTTTGCCTTTGTTTTTTTTTAAGAAAAAATTTGCATGGTGCAAACATTGCATCCATATTCTTAATGGCTATTTAGAAAGGGAAGTGTTTGGGTGTGCTGGAAAATAGCCCTGGGCACCTATTTGCCACGTGTAGTTGTGAACGTGAAGATCTGAGAAAAATCACCATCTGGTGTCTCCAGACTCAGATCCTCAGAAAATGCACAGAATACTGAAACGAAGGGAATTCGGGCATTTCTTTTGATGATTTGTTCAACTCTTTGTGTCTCTCCCAGAGGTGCGTGGAGGAAGGATGCACAAAAGAGCGGGGAGGGCTGTGTGCTGTCTGCACGTGTTCTGCAGATGATAGTAGGGAAGGTCAGCAGGAAGAAAGGATAGCCTTTGAAAAAGTATTCTGCCCTCCAATTTTAAGATACGTTTGAGCTCTTACTTTGTAAAAGAGGAACTGGTGACCTGGTGGCTTAATAGTATTGCCTATTCAAAGGCAATCGGTTCTTGGAATAATTTTGAGGCATTTGGAGCCATTTTCCGTATTTTTCCTTCATCTTTTTGTAGTAAAATTTCAGATTTGATCTTTTATTTCCCACATTGGCCACAAGAGAGGATTCGCTTTGCTGTGCCAGGGTACAAATCATTTTCATGTTAGAAAACCAAAAGCCATTAGCTGTGCTTTTACTTGGTGCAGAAGACAGAAGCATTAGTACTGTAACACAGCATGTTTTCTGCTGAGTGCATGGTGTGATGGCTGGAAATCCTGAAATTTGGTGCTAAAGAGCACCTCATCCCACATCTCGGAGGGTATTTGTACTGAGATCTCAGCAACTCCCAGTGGGCAACTGCCAGCATTTCAGCTTTTATTTTGGTCACTGGATTGAATAGACCCTGAGAAACACTGGGGGGAAAAAAAACCAAAAAAACAGTCCTAAGCCTAGAAGAAGCTGCAGATGCTTCAAGCTGGGATGGGAAATTAATAGAATTGTTATTCATTTCAATGGTGGCTCTTTAAATGTGGGGCAACTCACTGATTCTGTGCCTGCTCCGTGATCATTTTCCTTCTTGTTAGTGGTATTTCCTGCCAAAATTAATCAGTCACTCCTTGATGCTGGGCCAATTCCCTGAGTTACACGTAGTCAGTCAGGTGGCGATCCAAATGCTTGCCCACTTCTCCATTGTTTTCTTTCTCTCTGACTCTGTCAGAAGCATAAGACACATCCATGGATCATGGGAGAGAGAAGCAGGTTTGTTCTCCTTTATCTCTGTGCTGGGGAAAAAAAAAGCCTCTCAACTCTATAATCATCTTTCTATAAAATAAATTACTTTATCTGTCTTAATACTGTCACTCTTCAGTCCTCCAGTGATCTACTTCTTCCATCTGTGTGCATAACTGAAATCTTCTCTCCACCTACTCTATGTACTTCCAAGTGTCAAAATCCAGCCTCAATCATTGCTGTCATCAGTCTCTTGTTCCTGATGGGATAGCAGGTGAAACGTCACTGTTCCTCAGATCTCCTTGGGTAATTTCTGTGCTCGATTTGCAGAGTTGAGGTAAACTATCAGAAATATGACCTAAAATAGTGTTTTGTTTTGTTTTATTTTGTCAGTTGAAGTTTTCCACTTTCTGCTCCTGAAGCAAGTCGGCATTTCTGTTGCTTTCTGGGTCTTGTTTCCATCATGACTCTTGCTGCATAATTTCAAGAGATAACCACATTACCTAAATCCTATGAAAGTTGACTTACTGCTTCGTATTGAGTAATTCTGCATGACTCACACTTTGTTCTCTGATACAATTTTTACGCTTGTTTGCAGAATACTGTTGAGACAATTGAGCTTACTTACCAAAATCACCATCTTTTGTAACGAGACAGTACAATCACTTTCCTCTTTCACAAAGCCATTCCAAGAACAATGGGCCGACCCATAAATAACAACCATTTGTTTTTGCTTAGAATATGGATTCTACTTTGCTAAATGAAATAACAGCAGGGAAAAGAAAGAAACCTTCTTAGTAGCCTCGCATCTTCCCAGATAAATGTGGCAACGCGCCTCTCCTGCTGAGCTGTGACCTACTTTGCTCACAAAATGCTCTCGCTACCTTCCCCCAAATACCAGGCTGTTGAAGCCCCAGGAATTCTTCACCTCGGGTGTGAAACCGTGAAGTGTCACTCAGCACCAAAGGATCCTCAATGGTTTCCCTGTCTGGCGGCACAGCGCTGCTTATCGCATCCCCTGTGAATGCCTCTCTTCTCATCACGTTGCTGTTGGGATCAATTTCTATCTCTGCTCCAGCATACGCCCCGTGAGTTTGGAGCTGGGTGAATTTTGCCATCTTGTGAGAGGTTTGGGTACTTTTTTTTTTTTTTTTTGATTGGGTTTATTTTTGGGTTAGCTCCATTTCAAATGTTTTGCTCTGCCGTAATCCTTTTTTTTTTCTATTTTTGTTTTTTTTATTTCTTCATATTTTTTTATGGCTGAAAAGGAATCCTTTTCCTCTAGCTAATATATTATGTGCATCAGAACTTGGTAATGTGCCTGTTCAAGGAGAAACAGGAGTTGAGATCGAGCATCATCAGCTGTGGGAATGACCTACACCATATGGGACATGAGACAGTTACCCAGTCTGCGTTACATAAGGAATAAAATCGTGTTGCTTTGCTGAAGCATGGAAGGAAAGAGAACTAGAATGTGATGACAAATGGCTGCTCCTGAGGATAAAGGTCCTTAGATGTACTACCATAGTTTTTTTTGGCTTTATAACTAATGTATATGATCTACTTGTTAAATTCAAGCTCGTTGCATTGCAAAGGCAGCATCTCTTGGCTTGGTACTTGTCTTAGTTAAGTAGCACAGCACTTAAATATAGAAGCTGAGTTTGTCCATCAGGTTTTGCATTTATGACTCACAACTGATCACAGCACGTAGACGTTACCACCCACTGGGCGATGCTCAGGTTCATTATTTGGGGCAGATTAGTAGATTCTAATGCCACAAAGCATCATTACAGTCAAAAGGTAAAAAAAAAAAAGCTTTTGTTAGGTGGAAAAATTGATCCTGATTGTTTAGCAAAAAAAGCAGTCTGGGAGATGATGCTGTATAATATACGTATGCCCTTACGGGAGATGCGCTGCACCCTGGAGAGCCGCCTGCAAGAGCTGGTTGCCCCAGCCTGTTGCTATCCCAAAACAAACCTTTAAATGCTGGGGAATTAGCAACAAGCTAGAAGGAAAATGGCTGATTCCTTAGGTCTTGCTTTCTTTTAGCTACAACTGGGTACCTTTCAGGATGACACACTTGCATTGAACAACTCCTGATGTCATGCAAAAGGCTGGATGTCATCACCTGTGAATTTGGGAGGTTGGATCACAACTCCTTCCCTCTGCCAGGGGAAGTCTTTGAACCATCTCATCTTATGCCTGGCATTTGCTGATATCATGTAATGGGGTACATACTGTATCCACTCTACATTTCTGACTTAATTCTTTATCAGCACTGACTCTCTTATTCCCAGAGGGGAGCTGAGCAGAGCTGTGTGGAGCCCCATTCCCTCTGCATGGGGATTTCCAGTGCCTGCCTTGCCACGAGGGAAACGCTAGTGGTGTCAAACCTAATGCGTTAACAAGCCAGCTTGCATGCATGGTGATTGAAGGACCCCAGTGTAATTGCCAAGCTGCCTCTGGGAGCTGATCCCATGTGTAATTTCCTTCCTAAAATTGGAACTTCAAGATGCATTGAATGGCCTTATTGCACGTTTTTTCTGCTTGATATTTGGATACCAGTTTCATAGAATCATCTTTACACGTGTATGACTTTGTAATGAAAGAAAGGGCAAACAGGAGTGGCAGACTTAAGGTCAGGTTATTTTTAGATGTTTTATAAACAATATAGCCCCCCCAAAAAAGTCCAGAAGTATCCTGTTACAATAAGGTACAGCTTTCCACGCTGTACACGATCTGAAGTCCCCCTTTGTAATAATTCTCAAGCTCTTTACCTAGCACTTATGATTTCATTTTGCTTTATGCTTTGCTTGTGATATCATTTTGCTTGCATTTGCAAAACTCATCCTTGCATGTAGAAGGAAGCTGCCTGCACGCTGTCTTCTAGGAATAAAAGCTCTAATCTGCTGCACTGGGTTTAATAAATATTATTTTATCACTCATTGTTTGGAATATTCTCCCGGTGAACCTCAGCAGCTGCTCTTTGTGAAAATGGTGTCTGATTCAAGAGTAGGGGTTTGCTTCCACATTCTGGGTAAGAACTGCAGCCCAGGTAACCCCATACTGCTGCCTACTTCTTCCTATTACCACACTTTGGTATTGTGAGAGCTTTGCATTAAGGAAAGAAGAGGTACATAACTTAGAAATGCTCTCTGCACTTGCATGAGCTTTAGAGCCTTCCATGGCAGCAGGGCCAGGAGGTGATGCCCTCTGCTGCTCTGGGGCCCACAGGGCTCAGCAAGGATTCTGGCACTGGGCTGCAGCCCCGACCCTAGAAGTGCCACTGGAGTTGCATTGTCACTGCTGAGTGACAGTGGGGTCATTGATTCATTGGTGTCACAGAGGCTGCTGTAAGTATGAGGAAACAAATGAAACCCTCATTCCTAAGTCTGTGTTTCATACCTCCTTGTCTCTCTCCTAAATTCTGATGCCATCTAGTCAGAGCGAAGTGAATGGTGTCATAAAGCTTGGGCTTAGCTGAAAGCTGAAAATATGTGCGTGCGTGTGTCTGAAGTGCCTCTCAAAACACCGCACAGCCACTTTGCTGATGTGCAATTTTCATTTTATTGATATATATACATTTTTTTACATACAGTTACGTAATTGCAAACTGTACCCATTTACACCTTTCAGAAGGCAGTAACTTCAGGAGTGAACGCGGGATTATTTTTAGTATGTATTCAAGTTTATTCATGCTGAAAGGTAGTAGTTATCTTTTGTAATTTTAGAGTAGCTCTCTGAATAAAAACACGAGTATAGCTCTGTGTTAACTGCCACGTGACACTTGGGAGCGGGCTAAAACCTCTCCTAGGATGACAAAATCTCTGCTTTTTTGCTTTTCAGCACCCCAGTGGTGCACACGATAGCGATGTGTGTGTTGGGACCTGTGTCCATCAGCGCATAAAACGTGAGCCAGCTTGTGTGCACTGCGATGGAAATACCTCTAGGCCAGAAGGAAATACAGTTTCCAGTGTTGATTTTTGTGTGTGTATGCGTGCGTAGGAAAAGCTTATTGAAATTCAGCTGTGCTTTCCAAGTTCAAATTCCATATTCAGCCATCACCAGAGGGGTTATTAGATAGAAATCTGTGGGTCCTCAGCTGAGCGTTCTCCCCAGAGCTGAGTAAATACCTCTGTGCGTCAAGTTCTTCACCAAGTCTTCAGTTCACAGGCAACTGTGCAGAGGTTGCAAGTTTCTCATGTTTTGGGGTCACTGTTCAGATAAGTCTTGTGTTATTGTTTCTGCTTTCTGATGGAATAATGAAAAACAAGGAGCCTGCAGAAGGAGTGCACAATTTTGGGGGAAGGAGCTCAGTTGTTTGTCCAAGAAGGCACGCAGGGATTTGGCTGGGATAGACTAACACAGAGGCACCAGCAAAAGGTCAGCAAAAACGCATTTTGCAAAATTTCCTTTGTTCCAAGTTTGATTTCCAAGAAGTTGAACATCAGCCTCTTATTTGGAGATAACTGTGGGTCTGACACTAGAAGAAGATACGCTGTAAAAATAATAAGTGAGTCACAATGATAATGAGGCTATCGTTATGCAACAACAAGCTACCCTCGTTTCCTTTGCAGGCAGTGCACAACTGTACATTTTGATATCCCAGATAATCTGGGTTGCTCCTATCTCAGGGCCTGAACTCTTATCTCTGTGCAATGCCATCTTACAGAAGCATTTTGCAGAATAATGACTCCCACTGTCTCAAACAAATGTATCATAAGAGCATTTGTACTACCGAGTTTGCTGACGACATTGTTCAAGGAGGTATTTTGTGACATATTTGTTCTCCTAGTCTATATTTCTATTCAGGGCATTTTGAAAGTGTTTTCCAGCTTAGGAATCCTAATGAACCAGCCCTGTGTCTGCTCGTGTTTCCTCAATAATAAACTCCTCTAACTCCCTAGCAGTGTTTGCCAGCTGGAATTGCACAGCTGCTGTGGAGCAGCGTAAGGCAGAGATGGAGCAGTTCCTCATGACATGCCCAAGTCACAGGAACAGGAAAGTGACATGGTTTGTATTGTATTCCCACTGCAGCAGCTGAGAGCTGCAGAAGGCCCATTTCCATGAGCACCTGCTATTTTCTTTGACTGACAGCTGTGCAGAGTGGCAGGGAGGATGTTGGACCCCAGCAGTTCCCAGCTGCATCCCAGTGCTGCTTTCTTCCTGCCCAGCTCAACGCTCGTGTTTCAGCCTCCGCTGTGCTGACTCCATAAAGGTGATGGGCTGAGCAGTTTCCTAATGTGCAAATGTCAGAACCTGTGAAGGGTTACACTTCTGTAGACATTTCCCTTCGGAACTCAGTAGAATTCAGTTCCTCTACCCATTTGCATGGAGATAATCTGTTCTGGGGTTTGTTTGGGTTTTTTTGAGCTTTGGCACTGGAGTATGCAAACACTCCTTCTTCTGTTTCAGTGGTTGTTATGAATAGAAGAGCTACAGATCAACCTTCCTTACTATCCTCAGCTCTTACACCCCAGAAATATGTGAAGGTGGTTGCTGCCTCCAGGCCCACAGAACCTTCTCCAGGCTGTTAAATCTCTATCTTCTAATTTCCTTCCCCATAAGCAAGAGATCTGCAGTGGTGGCTGCCAGCAATGTAGCCAGGTAAGCACATCATCATCTTGCTAATCTGTTCATTGAGCTGGTAAGTGATCAATTGAGGCCAACTCCTTGCTTCCCTCTCTACCTGTATCTTTCCTTTTTCTCAAAGACAGCATCATCTCTAACTGTGCATCACTATTCACTAATTGCTGTGCTTTTGTTGCTGGTCTCTATATTCAATTTTTATGCATTTGTGAAATAGAGTTTTGAGAGGAATTACCTAAATTTGGAAAAACATTACTGTGAATCAGATCCATTGACTCCCGGATGCTTTATTCTTTTGTTCAGTTTTTTCTTGAATACATGGTCAGAAGTGACATGGTAAGATAGCTCCAAAAGTAAAATATCAGAACTTCCCCAGCTACATGCATGTTTTCATCCTGGGTGGCACAAAGCACTGGGGAAATCAGCAGGACCTGATTGCTCAAGAAAAAAAGGGTAGAATGGTACTCAGTGACATGGTTTAGTGGGCATGGTGATGATGGGTTGATGATTGGATTTAATGATGATGTGAGTGGTCCTTTCCAATCTTTATGACTCTATGACCTGCTAGCATAGCTGGATGGCAGCTCTTGGACTTTGGAGAGATGTATTAAGTGATGCTTTGTGTTTGAGATTCAAGAACGGGACTTTGCTTGTGCTTTTGCAGCAAAGATAAGAGGAAGCTTCTGGCAGTGGTGCCAGAATGCTTCTAAGTTCCTCTCACTCTGTTTTTTAAGTTTCATGAGAAGTAAATAGCTATAATTTTTTTCTGAATTAACGTATGGTGGCTATATGTGTATTAAAGTTCTTTGCCAGTCTTTGTCCATTTAAACCTGTGAGCAAATGATATAATTACTGGGAAGCAGTTATACTAAGTCTTTCTGGAGTCTTATTTCAGGCTTTGTGTCAACCCTGGGGAGCTCATCTGGGGCTGGTGTGGGATGCTGGATGGTTGAACTAGATGATCTTAGTGGTCTTTTCTAACCTCAATGATTCTTTGAGTCTCTGCTGGGCCATGCTGAGCTGTTGCTCAGATCCAGCTTTAGACACATTCCCTCCTGCTCCCCAGCCTGGGGTCTGATTTATTGGCCAAAACTTTGCATCCAGTAGTCAAGGTGGAAAGTGTTTATTTATGAGTCTTCATGGCAACATCTGCAGGAGTAAACTGAAAGCCAGATGGCATCTTTGGTCTTGTTCGTGGATGCTCCATCCTCATGGTCATGAGGTGACTGGCTGGTGCTGATGGGGTGGGGGGGTCATCCAACCCCATGCAGCCCCTCCTGCTTCTCATGTGAGGTGCAGAGCAGTTCTTATAGAAAGGACCTGAGAGCAACAAAGTTGTCCTTGTTTAATCCATTCTGGGTGGTGATTTTTCATTCCTCTGTAAAGGACAAAACCACCTCAGAAGCTTTGAGGAAAATAGCGCTGATCACAGTGTTCACATGTTCCTTTGGTAAACTAAGAAAAAGGGAGAAGGAAAGCAGCTCTTGGTTTTCCTTTGTCTCTGTAGCTGGGTTTATTTGAACAATCCATCAAGATGTATCTCACCAACAGCATCATTGAAGCTGAAATAGGAATTTTCAAGACTAATAGTGACTCTCCTAAGATAGACAGTTCTTGACATTTTATTTTTAGTGGCCAGTGAAAAAATAAATTACCGAGCAAACATCATGCAGAAAATATTTAAGCTAAGGAGAAATAGAGATCTCTGTATGGGATCCTGATCCTATACCAGGACCATATATTTTACATTTTGTGTTTATTTTTGTACTTTGTAAGAGAGAGAGTGGAGTTTGTATTGATTCCTTAGGGAACGATTTAAGTGTAGCTAAAGATGGAGCATCTGCTGAATGCCTCTTTGGTCAGTAAGCATTACAAGATATATTTTTATTAAACATTCCCCGACCCTCTTCCTTTACATCCTTGCTGCTGAGAACAGTAGGCTCATGAGTTACTATCAGCAGAACGCACCAGGGTTAGCTGTGCAGGAGGATGCAAGTATTATTCGAGTGAACACATGGGATAGGCCATGTGAGGAGCTTTGCCTGTCTTTGCCTGTTCTGGTGTCCTTTTGCTCTGTTTGTTTGTCCACTGTTATGAATGAATCTGAAGTGCTGAGGTCCCTTGCTTGGCTGGGGTTCTTGCTACTGCTACCGCTCAAACAGTAGATCCAGTGAAGGAAAGCGTGGTTGAAAGATGCTCTCACTTACAACAGAATTATTTTGATTGTCTCTGGTGATGCATGTGGAGCTCTCAAGTTTGGGTACCAATTAATTAATTGTGCTTTTCATTTTATCTGATGGGCGCCGTAGTGCAAACAGTGGAGATGAGGCTGGGAGTGAGCATCCCTTGCTGGAAACCAAATATGGAACAGCAGATGCTAGAGATGGTGCTGAGAGATTGGATTTGATTAACTCTTTTGCATTGTGAGCACTGTAAATTTGGGAACTGGGTGGGCCGGGCTGAAAAAGAGAGGTGGCAGATGGGACGAAGGGAGGGTGATTAATAGAAATATAAGCAAACAGCCTTGTATTAGCTTCTGCTGCTTGTTTTGCAAAGTACAGACTGAAGATGGAAGTAGAAGGAGGTGGCACAGATGGGAAGAGGGCTGAGAAACTTGTGAGCTCCAAACTGAGACAAGGCACAGGGGATATGAAGGTGATCAAATCTCACTGGGTGGGTCAGGGGCAGAGGCTTCAGTGGCAGGGTGCAGGTCAGAGCAAAGCTATCTTTTTCATGGTTTGGTCTGGAAGGAGTATTTGGAGTGGAGCCTGAGTAGTTTCTAATGACAACCCAGGAGGAGTTAGCAGTGATGGGATATAGAAAGTGATTTATTTTTTTTTTCCCCTCATTTCTTAATTAGTGGAGGAAGCAGAAGGGGTGTTGTGAGGGTTGACTCTGGTTAAGGGCCACTGTTAGCATTTAGAAGCACTTACTGACACTGCATCACTGGGGAGTGAAGCAGAAAGGGAAATAATAATTAAAAAGGGATAAATAGGAGCATAGGCTGTAAGTGTGCCCCGTGGAAGTGGAGCTACAGAGAAATGTTTGCTAGGCATCCAGACAGGTATAATGGCAGAACAGTAAGAAACCTTGAGCACAAGATTATTCAATAAAGAGCTTACAGCAGGGAACCGCAGAGGTAGTGCTGTCCAAGTGACATCATTTACCTCTCCACTTGTTATCATTCATTGTACCATGCTACGCTGTACATCTTATTATATGCTTCTTAACTGCAAATCTGACCTGCTGCGTCTGGTGCAGCGCAAGGACAAAAAAGACCCCAAACCCAATAGAACTACCAAACCACCACTCGTTCCCAAGGAGTCAGTGATGGAAAGAGTGTTCCTGTGAAAAACTGCATTGTCAGCTCTGTGTTGGAAGGTAGTGACAGGCAGACGGCGCGTTTCTCCAGGTTCACAGTTTTGTAACCTGACAAATTAAATTAAACATATAAAGTAGAAACGACTGTTGGATGAGTAGGCTGCAAGTGAAACCTGAGGAAATGAGATAAATGGAGTGGCTTTAATTTTTCAAGGGCAAAATGTTAATTTTAGTGGTACAGAAATGCTGGAGGGGGTGACATCGGTCTTAGACTTCACTAAGAACCAAATCTTACACATTCTAACCCAAAGAGGCAAACACTACATGGCCTGGTTGTTTGCATGGCTTTCATTTGAAACCCAGTGAGATCTGGCAACCAGTTTTGCTTTTGTCTCAAAAGATTCTTCTAGTGTGTAACCCAAAAATACAGCATGTGAGAAATCTCAGAAAAGTGAAGGACTCTGCAAAGGTACTGTGGCTGTCCAGAGCTGCTTGGAGAAGCATTCAGACCCTAAACTCTGCCATTCATATGCAAAAATATGTTGGATCATCAATTTCCTCAATTTACTCTAGGGTAATTGGTTTTATTTTGGAGAATGGGCCTTATTCAGTAGAACCTGTCACCTTATTTGCTTTCCATAAAGTCCCTGCTAGCTGGAGAAGTTTTCCCCTTTGTTCCATTACATTTAACAGCAGAAGAGAATTTTCCTCTCTCAACTTGCAGATTAACCATTAGAGTTAGTAAAAAATAAAGATATTGTCCAACAGGGTTACGTCATTCCACTAAAGAGGGACTTGACATTTCCCTGCCAATTATGAATTTTCATGAATTCCAAAATATGTTTTATGCTGATAAAGCTTCTTAAAGCATTCCCTCTAGAACTGTTTTAAAGAAAGTGGCACTTACATAAGTCCTTTGGAGTACTTTATGTGCCATGGCTTTTCCTATAAATATTCACCAGTTCGTTATTGTCACTGAACTTCAAAGGTGGGTAGGTGTTGATTATTTTTACCAGTTAAAAGAGAAAAGTCTCGGGTACCTGCACACTCTTTGAATAAGCTCACGAAGCAATCTGCAGCTTTCAGGTTGGCCATTATTTCCTCAGGTTTCTGCTTCCTCTTCATTAGTCTTCATTTTTTGCCACTTTTATTTTGTTTCACTGCCTGTAAAAGGCACTTGGCTGACGAGTCCCTGTCCTCCTGGCTCAGAAGGCTTTTTCATCCCATAGAACTTTAGAAAATTCCACGTTTGAGGTTAACACAGCCCTGGGTGGCTGGGTGAGGGCTGAGCAAATCCATCCTGCTCCCTGGGACAGCCCGAATGCAATGGCTCCATCTGCACAATAGAGTGACTTCTTGCACAGCTTGCCCACGCTGTCTTCATTCATCATTGTTCTGGCTCCTCTCTCCAAGTGTCTGCAGCCTTGGGGTGACAAGGTCTCATGTTCTGATAAGTATATAACATCATCTTGCTGTGATACAGAACACCCCAACACATTGCACCATCTCGCCTTGGCCGTGGCTCAGGAGATCCTGGATGTGGCCTCCAGAAATTTCAGAGTATCCGTTATTTCTGAATATCACAAATGAGTTTGCTAACTGGGGAAAAACAAGCCTATTGCCATGGGGAATGTTTGAAAAGATCAAAAAAGGGACATCCTCTATGACAAATGACACTTAGCAATGCCAAGAGCTACAAGAATGTTCGTTGGTGGCAGAATTTACTTGCTGCTGGTGTTGCAGAAGTCCGGAATGTTGAAGAACTGGAAAAGCTTGAACTGCATTTTCAGCTTCACAAGAGGAAAAAAAAAACAGAAACCAACCATAAAATGTGTGATTCATTACTTAAAATAAGACAGTGGGTAGGAAGTGAGGGAGGGTGACTCTCAGACATTTAATTGGAAACATGTCCAAAGACCCATCTGGCATGGCTGTAGGAGTGGGCAGAGCCAACACTGCTGAGCTGCACCTTGGCTCCTCTCCAGCATCACCTGGATGTCGCCGGGCTGAGACCAGTTTGGGAACTGGGTTAGGTTGAAGTGGTAGCAGTCAATTTCTAGTGGGCACCAAGAGGGCTTTAATACTCACAGCACTGAGAATTAGCACCCTGTGTGGTTTGCACTGATCTCTTAGTGGGTAAACGTCCTGGGGAATCTGACTGTGATTAACTGAAGCAGGCAGCTCCAGATTTTTGGGCTGTCTGGGGTTGCACTGCTTGCAGGCATGGTGTGATCACCCAGCACAGCTGCGGGTGGCTGAGATGGGATCAGCTCCAGGTGGTGATGAAATCTCAGGGCATTGCATGGTCTGGCACAAAACCTTGCTGGAGGAGAGACTGGAACAGCAGAATTTGCTCGTGATGGATGATCTCTAATTTGTTTCCGCTGGAAAAGGTTGTGGAGACAAGGTTACCCTATAAATAATGTTTAGAGTGTAATTTTGTTAAATATCCTTCTCCTGCAGGAATAAATAATGTGCTCTCTTCTTTCATTATGCCAGGGAGGCAGTAACACATCCTCAGGTCCAACGCTGTCATTTATTTTATATAATGCGTCTGTGTATCTGAATTCTGTTTGTGTGTGTTTACCAGGAGGAAGAAAACTCATGAGTGATGCCTGATCCAGCTTCGATCCTCACGGAGCTGATAATCCTGTCAGAAGCACAGCTTTCAGACCAATGGTTGCCAGCTGCAAAATGTCACCAGGTGATGTGCAGTGGGGCCAACGCAGACCTGGATGATTTGGGGCTTGTTTCAAGGTTTGAATTTGGAACAGATATTTGACAATGCCATCATATTGATTGTGCAAACAACGCGTTGTGACAAACCTCTGGATGTTTCAGAGTACTTATTCCACCACAGGCCTCGGTGCTCCTTCTGTAGCCACGCTGCTCAGATGTAACTTCTCAATACCCAACAGAATAATCTCTGCTATTGTGTGGCAGCGTGAGTTTAGCAGTGAGCCCATCCCAGCCCATCGGGCTCTCAGCCAACAGCGTGAGTGACGTCTCTGATCCAGGCTTCACCTCTTAAACAAGGAGAAATGTCAACCTTCAATCAAGGAATTAGGGTGTTTGTCATTTAAAAGAGACTTAGGCAGGAGGAAAGCGCCTTTTGTTTAAGTCTGCTTTCCATAGCTCCATAGGCTGGGGAGCAATTTCCCACCTTGCAGCAGGTTTGCTATAGTGAGGTTTCTGGGGTCCCAAGAAAGCAGCATCATCTGCTCCACATGTGGGTGTGCTGCAAACACCGTCTGGAAGAGCTGCTCAGAGGGCATCACCCAGAGGTGTTTTGCCCAGGGCAATGCAGTGAAGGTTTAGCAGCAGATCTCGGCAGCCTGGCAGGTTTTGCTGAGTGCATCCCAGAGCAAGATGAGTCCCAGTGCTCAGAGCAGGTTGGCCCCGTTACCAGCGCTCACCTCAGCACCCTCACAGCATGAAAGATGGGTGAATCTGCTGTCTGCTGGGTCAGCTGCCCTGTGGGATGTTGGCAACTGCAGCACAGGGAGCCTCACAGCACAGCAAGTCAGTCTGCCCCAAGAGTTTGGGGTTGTGTCTCCTCTGGGAGCAGACACAGCCACTGAATATTGCTTTCCTCTATACCCTCAGAGGTAGAAGTGCTGAAGATCTGTATGGATGTCTCCTGATAACAGCAGGAACGTGCATTAACAACCGCCCAGCTGCAGTCCTGAAAGCTAGAAGGACATAAAGGTGCAGGTAACATAACGTGATGCATTCTACAAGGGGAAGCAAATAGGCATTCCAACTGCCCATCAGTTATTAGATCATATCAGTATGTTTGTCCAACGAGGAAGGAAATGTTGTGTGTTGATATTTATGGAAATTAACTGGATTCTCATGTAAGAACTGACATCTAGCTTGAGCCAAAAAAAAAATTCCCTACCTGGACCCTTGAAAACCATTATAGAGAAACCAAGGAACTACTGGCATTAAGAAACAATGCAAAGATGAAATGAGTGGGTTGGCCCTTCCCAGGAGAGTCAGAGAAGCTTTAGGTTGGGTCCTAATTGATTTTGGTTCTTTAAGGAAATCTGAGGCCCCACTACAGACCAGCAACAGGTGAAGGACTTCAAGCCACTCTATGACTCTGTGCTGGTTCTGTGACTACCATGAGCACAGAGATGTGCCTGCTCTTGGAACTGTGGGCTGAACTCCTGGCATGCACTTGTCTAACGGGTAGACTAACATGATAGGTGGGAAAGTACCTTAATTGCAAAGTCTTTTTGGCTTAAAAATGCATTCCTGCCTCTCTAGAGTAGATATCTGCTGCAGATGAGAGAGACTTGCCAAGGAGCAAAGTGCAGCAGTTCTTGTTCAGCAGGTCATTTCTTGCCAGTTCAGAAGTCTGGAAATCACAGACTGCAGAAGCAAACTGCCTTAACCTTAACCACAGATGTGCTGCCATAATTGCAGGTGTCGTTTAAGTGTGGAGCCAGGTCTGTTGTAACTGACTCTTTTTCTCTGCTAGAATTAATGAACAAATCCTGCAGCATCGTTGACTGAGCAAATCAGCAGTCAGTTAAGTGCATCCTGTCAGCAGAAGGTAATTTTAATGCTAGCCCAGTGGTCTCTCTAATTAAAAGAAGCACTTATTATTTGTTTTTGGGATTGTTTCCAAGAAGGAAAACAGAGTTCAGAAAGGCTTTCAGAGCTGATTGCCTTCTGTGACCTGGTCTGTGCTTGAGACTGATATGAGGAGGGGGAGAGAGCAGAATGAAGGATGAGGAGGAGCAGAAAGCGTTGAAAAGCTCAGATTAGTCTCTTCAGTAGAAGAGAAACAAATCAGTGCCAAGAATTAGAGAAAGAACAGACAAGGAGAGAACAGAAAGAGGAGCAGAACAAAAAAGAAGACAGACAAGATATGACAGATCGGGAGAGAGCATGGCAAAAGACAGCTGAGTGACAGGTAGGGTGTTAATACAGACATGAAGACACCATCTTGGGGGTCTCTATGGGAGGCTAGAGAAGCACCCAGTGATGGTGACATTGCTGTTGCTGTTTGCAGTAGAGATGGGGGAGATGGTCCCTGGAGATCTCCTCCAGCTCTGCTGGCAGCCAAGCATCCCATAGCCCTGTTGTCAGCCTGTAACTCACAGCAGCATTCAGTGCAATGGTATTTCCTCCCTCGTTCCTTGCTGGTCAGTTCTGGGAGTTACCCAGCTGAGGGCCAGGCCTGGCCAGCAAAGCAGTTCGTTGCACTGCATCTGTAGAGAGAGAGAAAAAAATTCAACTCAGGACACCCATAGAAACTAGAGGAAGATCTATCCTACAGACCACTTCAGGTGCTGATATCATCAGTTTGGACATGATTTTGTCGAGTGCATTTCCTGGTGCCACCAAGATAAGACCATGTTCAGGCAGCACAATGTCTGTAGGCAGACATCCTCAGATGATCTGACATTAGTGGAAAATTAGGAGAGCTTTTCAGCATCCTAATGCTTGTGAGTAGGAACAGCAGGCTTCAAATCTAAATAGGAGTTGAGAGGAGCTGTTAAGTGCTCGATTAGATGTGCCTCCCTTACACTGTTTTGGGTGGACAGATAGCAGGCACTGTATTCATGAACAGTCAGGATGAGTTTCTGTAGTTTTCCACTGCAGAAAAACACTCAGGGAACCCCCCAGGATTCCCTGGTGAGTCGTGTGGCCCATGTGCTCTTCAATAGAAGCTTAGGTAAATTCCTTGTTATCATTCAATTCCTGGGGAGTTTCTTGTCTTGGACATTGAAGCGAATGGCCAAGAGTGGCAGAGAGCGACCACAATGTACTCAAACACCAGACATCATTGCTTGCATGCTGCAGAGTACTGGCTATTCTTGTATTAGAGCATTTGATTGAATGTCATGTTGATGGGTGTAATGTTTTCCTCCCTCCTGTAACTGGTTTGCACCGTATAGAAATCAAAATCCACTTTTGAAATCACTCTGGACACTGCTTGTTGTAATGGAGCTGCATATGGGATGATGAACAGCACCTGTGTGGCTTTCTGCTCCTATGGAGGAGTCAGCACCATGCAGGATGGGGCCTGCAATGGCATCAGTTACCGAGGAAACTGCCTCTATAGAAGTGAAACACGTTTCTATTAGCAACAGCAGCTCCAGCATGTGTGTTAGAGCATTTAAACACCTCATTATTGAACTGCATTTGTTTGTGGGCTTTTACACGTCTGCATGCTGTACAGTGTGAGGTGAGAAAGTGGGCAGGTGATGGAGCAGGAGGGGACCACATGCACCTGGGAGGGAACTGGGGAGCTGCACACACCAGCAGAGCAGGACCAATCTTAGAAAGGCAGGGCACTGCTGCCCTGTCTTGGGCACTACATAGCACCCCAAATGGGGAAACACTGACTCCATAAGGAGGGATTGGGTGCATGAGGTGCAGTACTGTGAAGTGAGTGCGTGGCAGTGAGGAGCAGCTTTCATCCACTGTGAGCAAAGATGAGAGGCATGGCTCTCACCTGAGAAAGCAGTTTGGGAAGGTTTTTTCCTATTTACTCCGTGTCCCAAGAAGAATTTTAAATTTCCTTTGGAAAATAGGCTGCAATCACACAGGGAAATGGTGTGTGAAAGACTGGGGCAGTAATCGCCCATGAAATGAACATCCAAAGTGAGATACAGACTATAGGAATGTGTTTAATGTGAACGTTGAGTTCCACTGCCAGAAAGGTTGCATCTACAAGCAGGTGTGCTCTCATTAAAGGAAACAAGCCCATGTAGCTCAGAGGGTGCAGGTGGTGAAATTAAACTGCAGTTCATCTCAGGTTCTGACTTCTCCTTGCATGCAGACGTCGCTCCCACTAAGCTGAACTGTCATTTTCCACAGTAGAGAAACTGACTCCAAAAGTAGTGCCGAGTGCTGACAGCTCATTAGGTGCTGTTGTTTGGTAGCTCTCAGCAAGTCATGAAAGCGGAGCCAAACTTAGGGCAGCTCAGGTAGGGAGATTAACATTGATATCCGAAGCTGTCATTCCCCCACATTGTATTTATGTTGGGCACTTCTGGACACTTGTGGTGCATCCTTCCCAGCTGGCATGGCTCGCTCGCTACCAGGCTGACCCAGTGTGCCAAACTGTGTTTTGTTCTTCACAGAATCATGGAAATGGGTTGGAAGTGACCCTTGAAGGCCATCTCATCCAACGCCCCTGCAATGAGCAGAGATGCCCACAGCTCAGGCTTGTGGTTTTGCATTTTATTTTATATTTCTTGTGGTTTTATATGTCATTTTGTTTCCCTGAGAGGGGGAGAGGCTAAACCCATTTGTGTGCTGTCATGGTTGCAACATGCGACTTTCAAACAGCAAATCAGTTCCCTTTGTGTATTACTGGGTCAGCCATAATGAAGCAAGGGGCAAGGAATGCATATGAGCCCTTCTGCTTATGGATGACAGAAACATCTCCAGGGCAAAGCCAGGAGGAGTGTAATCATGCTGCTGTACCCACCTCTAATCGCCTTCATTCTCTGCAGTGAGAAGGTACTGGTGCTGCTGAGACCCACCTGCCTGCAAATCTGCTTCTCCTGAGCCACCTAATGTTGATGAATTACTATAAATGCGCTTATAATTACTTGCCTAATTATAAGTGCCTTCACAAATGATTTTGCTAGTGCTTAATGGAAATAAAGTGAAACATGTGAAGCTATAGTAATGGAAATATAGAGCAACACGATAGCATGGCATTAACAAATCCAAAGCTGACTGGTGTGATATTGGTGTCTCAAGATCCCATCCATGGGTGGGCAGGCAGGACACATAGTCTGACTGTGCAGCAGTATAGGGTGCAAAAAGGGGAAGAGGCAAAGGGAGGAGGCAGAGCATGGGAACAATGCAGAGGAGAGAAACAATGCAGGGCACGAAGCCTTTTAATAGTATCATAGATCACCCCATTTTGGAAGGAATCCATAAGGATCACTGAGCCCAACTCCTGGCTCTGCACAGAAGCATGGCACCACCACAGAAAATACACAGGTGGCTGTGTTTTTCCATCGGCTTGCTATTTTTTCTGTAACTGTTTTTTGTTGTTCTTTGCTGCCAGGTGCTCTGAACAAGGCCTCTGTTTTCTTTGTCTTTTTTTCTTCTACTATGAATTGGGAATTGCAGAGCAGTCGTTTCTGAATGAAGACGTTTCACTCCAACATTTTGGCTTGCCTTGAGTGCATTGAGTGAAGAGGAATTGTCCTTGGCCACCTATAACATCTATAATTGGTTAATGCATGTAAGTAGCAAAACCTCTTTTATTTTCTAATATCTTTTATTAAAACATTAAAAAAAAAGAAGGCAGCAAAACCATAAAACTATCAGGTTGGACATGTGTGGTCTGGTACATGGGGGTCCTCGGGGAGGAGTGACATGGAGAAGCCATGGAGCAGTAGGACTCAGCATTGCTGACAGAAAGCAGAGCGCCTTGCAGTAGCCCAGGCTCAGCAGGTGGGGCAGGAAAACTCTCCTCTGGGGTGGGAAGGGTGGAGGTGATGTTAGCCAGACATTGGGGACCCTCCATGGCCCCGCTGAGAGCGCTTCTGTTTATAAATCAGCATCCACTTCCCAGGAAAATGGTTTTGATGTTGACTTCAGACATCCTCTCTCTGGGAACAGCCCAGCCTTTGCCTTGCTGCAGAGACAATAGAAGGAAGACAAGCACAATGGGCGCATGTGCTAAACACTTTAATGAGCACTTCCACACCATTCTCCCGTGTTTCCCCATATCCCATGAGTCAATAAGCACCTCATGCAGCTTTCTAGATAGTGCACAATAAACTGATATGGCTGTGGACTAGTCCGAGCATTTGCCCTCATTCACTGAATAAAAGAATGGAGATGTGAGCTTGTTTTGTTCCCTATATGTTAACTCCATATAATATTCCTAGCAACTTCTTTGCCTCTGTAAACTTTCTACCATGCAATTATACTTAAAATATTTTAAGTGAAATTATACGCATTTGTGCAAACGGTGCTGTGACAAATTTATCACAAGTATGCATTGGTGTGCCCAAGCAGAGACTTGATTTATCTGCACCTGCAGACAGAGCCCTTGTCTCTCTGGTTCATTTTGAATAGCAAATTAACGAATGTATGTAAATTGCTGGTGATTATACTGCAATTTCCATTGTTCTCTATGTTTGCAGTGCTGCTCTGCGATGCATGGAGCATTCAGTAAGAAGTTCTGTGAGTTCTATGTAAGAAATTCAGCAGTTAGAATTGTTACTTGGGAGAATTCTATTGCCTGGAGACAGGGCTTTTAAATTATGGCTGATGTTTTGCATTGTATATGGAAATTTTTCATCTCCAGCTATCTCCCAGATATTTAGATCAGAAAGGCTTAGTTATTCCCAGACCACTCAGGCTTTCTCTTCCAATTCACTCTCCTTGGGAACAGTTCTTATGATTTATGTAAATTGCAAATTATCAGGCTTCAGAAAATTTATTTATTTTTAATGATATTTACATACATTGAGGAGCCAGCAACAGGTCCTGAAGGAAGGGATGTAGATATCAAAACCCTACAGAGAGAAAAGGGGTGTGAGTAGAGAGGATTTATTACCCATTCCTTCATACGTTCATAAATGACAAATGCGTTGCTTTGGGGCCAAATAAGTAATTGTGTTCTAGAAATGTGTGGACATACTAAGGGACATAGTTTAGAGGGAAAATAGTGGTTAGTGGCTGGACTTGGATGGTCTTGGAGATCTTTTCCAATGTTGGTGATTCTATGAGTCTATTATGTGAAGCTGCTGAGGCCAACTACTACAATATAGTGGGCCTGGCTCCGAGGCATTGATTGTGCTGGCTCAGGAACTGCTCAGTCACTTCAGTCCTGCCAACTGTCTTACTGTCATTTGGTGGATTGATACTTGGACTAGATGATCTTAGTGGCCTTTTCCAACCTTAATGATTCTATGATTATGTTTTGTTAACAGCTTTGCAATCACCTGAGCCTGTGGAAACCTCATATCTCAACATACATGACCTGATTCTCAACCTCGTGGTCTACATCCATGCTAAGGAACACCAGCCCCACTGCCAGCTCTGGGCACTCAGCTCAGCCTTGCTGACTCCTGTTGCCTTCTCTTCACTTTGGGAATTGATTTTCCTGCCAAGGCAACCCAAGATGATGAGGCAGAAGCTATGGCAGCATTGTTCTCATCCTGGTAAATGCTGTGCTGTCACCTGTGCTCTTCTAAGCATTTTTCCTCCTTTTATTTCTTGGAGGGGAAAAAAGTTTTAGGAAGTACTTCATCCCTCTCCCAGATTAGTCTTTTCTGAGTGGTTCTGAGGGCCCTTGGTACTCTGTCAGAGCAAGAGTGTTCTCTGTTGCCCTTTGTAGCTTTAATCATAAATTTCCCTGTTGTTTGCATGATAAACTCCAAACTGTAACTCAGTTGGCAGCTCAGTATCTCTTTAAATCACTTCCAGTTTCTCGTGTGCCATTAATATTTTATTTATGTTGTATTACATTTCGCAATAGTCTCCATGCCAACAGTTCATGCCAGAAGCAATGTATGACAGAATAATTTAAATCCTCAGCACTACGAGCACTTTCTCTTTAGGTAGTGTCATTAAGTCAGACTCGGTTTGTCCTTTCTCTTGCAGAGAGCCAAGGCTGGATGTGTTCCTCCTGACACTGCCCTGAAGGAGACAGTGGGAGTGCCAGAGCAGTGCTGTCACCTGCCCCGGGTCTGTGGTGACAGTAAATCTCCCATGGAGAGCTCCTCCTGGGGCAGGACCAGAGCAGCCATTCGGCACTGCTGTCTGTCGCTCCTTGCTTTTGCAGAGGTGAATGAGGACTTGATTCCAAACCAGCCTGCTGACATATTGTGAGCCCTTCGTTCCTTGAGTCTGTCCCAGTGGGGACCATGGAGCCTGGGCTGGCTGCTGGCTGCTCTTTGGCCCATGGGAGTCCTCACGAAAGAAAGGCAGGAGTATCTTTCTTATGCGTGCTGCTCACAGTGTTGTCCACAACTGGCCAAAATCCATGGAGAGAGGCAATAGTTTTGCTAGCCCAGATGGAAGTTCTTTCCTTGGGACACACAGAAACTCTTGCTTGTAGCGTTACACCAGCCTAGCTACACTACTACTTCTCTCATTCCCATGTAGGTATGATCTATGTAATGATTTTGCTGTTTCCCCATTGATGTGGCTTATTTTTACTGTAGCACTCTATCTATTTCTGCTACTGTTAAGCAAATCCTTCTGATGCTGGACCAGAGAAGAAGCCCCTGAGACATAATACAAAGGTGAGCTTAGCTCCTTCTTAACTGCATGGTCAGTCACTGGCACAGGCTGCCCAGGGAAGTGGTGGAGTCCTCATGCCTGGAGGTGTTTGAGAACTGTGGAGATGTGGCACATGGAGACATGGTCAGTGAGTATGGTGGGGGTAAGTTGGTGTTGGATTTGGTGATTTAGTGGTCTTTTCCAACCTTAACGATTCTATATACACAGAATGATTCTATACACATCATCAGGATTGATGGTCGTATTTGTAAATCTAACCCTTATTAAATGTTCAAATAAAGGCTACAATATGCTTGGTACACAACCCTACAGGTCTTCCAGGAGAGCACTACTCTGCTGAGCCTGCTAGACTTCCATCCTGCCCTCTCTGGCTTGATCACACAACTGACGCAAATGCCAGTAAGAAACAAGTGAAAAAGTTAGTAGAAAAAAAAAGAAAATTAAAAAAATGTGAATTATTCAGGTTTATATCAGAGAGGAATCAGCAGAGTGCAGTGAAATTGGAGTGTCAGAGGAGAGAGCAGCAGAAAAGCATGAGTGTGTTTCTCTGTATATGACATAAAGAGGTTGCAAGGGACTCCTATGGGACTCTTTTTGGGAATATGAAGTCTGGACAAAATAATGTAGTAATGAGACTAATCCAATGCCACAGAGGAAACAAGTGGCACTGAAAATCCTTCAGACCCCTGTGGTCTGGCAGATTCAAGTTTTCAACCACAATGTTCTTAAAATCCCAAGTCTCTAAGATCAAGAGGTGGTATTAATCACAAGTTTGCCAAGGGCATAGATCCAGGAATCACAACTGCCTTCGTCAGCCCCTGTACCAGAGGGGATTAAAGAAAAATGAGTTTACTGGAGGCACTGTGGAGTTAGCACAAATCATCCTGGGGAGGAATCTGTCCATAAATGGTACCTCTGTGCAAACAAATAGATTGGAAAAGAAAGAGCTAGGCAAAAACTGCAGCTTGTGCACATGGCTTCGTTGATCTTTCTGTGCCAGTGAATGCCATGTAAGAATGTTTCCCTGGAGACCACTGAGGGCACTGTAGGTAAATTCACCTTACTTGAGATCACAGAGACCTCTGCAGACTCGTGGTATCCACCCTACTAATCTTCTTGTTTCTCTTGTTAAAAATCCACAGCAGGGAAGAAATTGCTGTGTCTGACTGACACTCACCATTTATGCTGAGGGAATATCCATCTGTTTCAGCCATCCAAATCTATTCTCTGTTTTGTTATCATTTTCCATTTCTATGCTTTGTGAAATGCAATGGGTGGTGTTCTCACTTATTTTTCCCAACTGGCAATTGCTTTGCAGATCAAGCTGCAAGCAGTCCTATGACTTCCTGACGTGGCAGGGTTATGAAAGTCCTGCCAAAGTGTCATGCAGTCTCTGCTGTGAAATCTGACAACTGAAGAGGTTTCATCCCAGTCCTAGTAGTGATGGGTTTTGATCCCCTGTTAAACACACTTCTATTTTGGCTCTGACAGGTACCAACAAAATAAATGAAATCTGCAATCCTCTGTGCATATCGGAGGGCATTAGATGATTCATTGGCTTCCAGTGTGCTAACAGGATCCTTTGCACATCTTGTGTTGCTTTAACGGGTAGTTTCAGCTGTGGGATCATTGCTATATTTTGTAGTTTTGTTCTATCATTAGCTGTTAAAGGAATAGAAGACCACAGATAGCTTGGTATTAAACTACAAGTTCTTGTTTTTATTGGCACCACCTGGGGATTAAAACAGATGCTGTCATGCTGCACAGTTAGCCTCAAAGCAGGGGAGATGTAATGATTATGCGATCAAAGCACCTCGCTTCATTCAATTGTGTGATAATTACAAATGGAAACATTCTAAACAAGCAACATTGGCTATGACACACACAGAAAGGAAAACCCAGTCCCCAAAGCCTGTAGTGAGTGTTTCAGGGATGGCAAACCTTACACATCTTCTTCTGAGGAGGAAACCTGGGTAAAAGCTGCTGCAGATGATCCTGCAGTACCTTATGGTCCATGAAAATACCCTGTAGTTACCAAGAGGGTAATATTGTGAATGCCACGTATTCACAATGACCAGGTCCATATTTATAATAAAACCATTCCAGTGACCTTTTGTGACCATTTCAGCTCATTCTGCTGTGACTGGTGGGCGTATTCCTGCCTCCCTAAAGGCTGACTGGGACATCTTCATCCAAAGGAAGACGTATTTACTTGGAAGATGAAAGTCAAGGGATGTTTTCCAGTCGCTTCAGGCACTGAGCTGTTGGTGCACGGTTTAAGAAGTTGCCCTTGAGGGCTTTTGGACCTTGTCCTCCTTTCCCTCCTGCCACTGCCAGGTAAGTCTCGTATGAATATTAATTTGCATCAACATGAAGTGTAATTCTGTTACCCAGCTGCAGTCTAGTGCAGGTCAACGTGTGCTCATGGTGTGCAAACAGTGGCTGTCGATGGATGGATTTATGGTGAGATTTATGGTGCTTCTGTTTGAAGTTGGGCAATAAGAGCATCCATGATAAAAGCACTGTGGTTAATGATAAATTTTACCTACCTCTTTCGAAAGAATGGGAGAAGTGCTAAGATTAAGCTGAGGCTGGAGGCTAATAAAAGAAAGGCAAAGGCACATTGAGGAGTTCCATCCCTGCAGCCCTCGTGTTTGCATGGAGCCCTTTTAATAACTGTGAATAAAGCACTGTTCTTCCAGTTCACTTTCTAAAATAAACCATCCAGATGGCTGTAAGACAAAACCTAGTCGTCAAGCTGAGTAATGTGTATTTTGAGCACATTAACAATGGAACGTGTAGAATTGTGCTGGATTATGCAGGATGCCACTCAAAAAGGTGCACACGCAGAAGCAGAAATATCACAAGCATCAGACAGCTGTGGTTCATGATGTCACTCTGGGCCTAAACAGAAGGAAAATGTGTTTTACAATAAGGGTGGTGAGGCACTGGCATGGGTTGCCCAGAGAAGTGGTAGTTGCCCCATCCCTGGAGACGTTTAGGGTCAGCCTGCATAACCCGAGCACCTGATGGAGCCGTGGGTGTCCTTGTACATTGCAGGTGGGTTGGACCAGATGACCTGTAAGAGTCTCTTCCAACTCAAATGATTGTATGATAGAGTGCTAAGTGAAGATTAATGTTATTTTTTCCTTTCTGAGGGGAGATGAAGAGGGCAGACAGATTTTCTTACAGTCAGTAAGAATATAATTATTTGGCTGAGCCGACAGTGGGTTTCTTCTCTGATGCTTGCCCCCTTGATGTTCAATTCAAACTTGGAAAAAAACCTGAAAATCAAAAAGACTCATTGGCAGAGGAAGGCAAAACCCAGACGTTCTGCTGGGGCTGCAAATGGGAGGAATATCATTGAGAGATTTTCCAGCCCCCTCTGCCCAAACTCATAAAACTTGCAGCAAAGGGAGAGCAGAAACGAGTGCCTGATGGCTGCAGGGCACACTCAGTAGGATGTTAGATGTGTTTTAACAGCTTTTACTGCTTGGATGGCAACTAATGGTCACAAGGACTGTAATCTGAGGGTTGTTCGAAGGGTTTTGCTGGTTTCCCCCAAAGCTTTCTGTTTCCTGACTTCACTCCTTGAATTTCCCAACTCCCACAAGAATCCAAGCTCTCATCACCCCGTATTGTGGGGGCTGCTGTGAGGACACAGCCTGCAAACTGCAGAACTCCTGCTGAGAAAAACATCACCTGGAACTGTTTGTCCACTGCACGGCAATTTTCGTAAGCAAACTTTGTGCTGAAGTACAGCATGAGTAATTGCTTTCTTTATTTTTCTTTACCCGAATGCAATTTTTATTTGCTGTGAAATCAAGTTCCTTCCCTAGCTGGAAGCAAGCGAGCGACTTTTGTGTGTAGGAAGACTATAGTGGCACGGTGGAAAAATAAAACTATCAGAAGCTCTTGAGGAATAAATTCAAGCCCTCATTAATCCCTGTGGGCTGCATCTCCTATCTGAATTTTATGGAATGTGGGAGGTATTTTCAAAGCAATGGAATTGGTTGGTTTCAAGGGCTGACTTAGAGGATACAGACATGGTTCTGAACCACAGTCCTCTGCCCAAGGAAGATGCAGACTGGGGTTTATCCTGGGAATGTGCCCAGAACTTGGGTTTGCTGTAGAGCATTGAGGCTTCAGGGAGTGCTTGAAGTGGGACCAATGTAGAACTGCTGATGGGCTGGCTTTGATTTATTGGATATTTGCTCATAGAGTTATTGTGTGATTCCTAAATGTTTTATTATCATAATTATTGTTCTCCTTATTATTATGACTTCCTTATCCGGGAAAAATCAGCTTTTCTGCTGTGAAATTCCAATTATAATCAAAGAAAGCTTTGTGGATGCCATCCCACTAATTCTGTGTCACTCCAGCCTCTCAGCCAGCTCTCAGAGGAGTCTCTCATGGTGCATCTTGGAGACCTAAATGTCAGGAATGAGTTTTAACTAGGTTTGGAACAGGAGGGGTGCACTCGAATCTGGAGCTTTTATCTGACTCTTAATTGCATCTGGGAGCATAAAATTCACTGGTATAAGCTGTCATAATGCAAAGATTTCTGACTCATCACTGCAAGAAGAACAGTAAGAAATAAATTTCTGGAAGTATAGTTTATTATTGAAGTGGTGTCTTTTGCTAAGGACAGGCTATGTGCCTAGGAAGAGTGAAGGCTAATGGCTAAAATCCTTCTCCAAGATGTATGCATGACTGAGGGAGTTCCTATTAGAATTTGGGAAGGGTGCAAAGGAGAGTATTGTAAGGAGCAGGGGCTGCTGCCACTTATACTGCTATCCAAAGTACTTTGGTACTTGGAATCACAGAATGGTTGGGTTGGAAGGGACCTAAAAGCACACCCAGTCCCAAACCCTGCTATGGACACTGGAATGTGATTTTGTTTTCAATTCATAATGATTTCTTTTTCGCTTATGTAGATATGGATTGGAGCATCACCTGATTGTGCTGTTCTTATATTAAGCGTAAAACCAAATCATACTGTTTTTTTAAAGTAAGTACGAATATCTGAACCTTCCCTTTGAGTCAGCAGCAGGTTGTGGTTCAACCACAGCTGGTCCTAAAGACAGCACGTAGACAAAGCGCAGATTTTGCCGATGGAGGTTTTTGTCTCCACGCAGATAGAAATAAGCTACCAGACCCTGAAAGATGCGGTCCCACAGGAGCAAGCAAGATGTTTTCCATAAAAATAAGCAAGGCAAGGAAGAGAAACTCATCCGAGCGTGAATCAGGGCAGGGAAGGGAATTTAAGCAGGGAAATGCTGACTTTCCCCTTAACAAGAAAGCATCAGTTCCACATTCCCTCAGTTTAACGGCACAGTCTACAAAGAAAAGAGGAAAAAAAAAAAAAAAAAGAGAGAGAGAGAGAGAGAGAGAGAGAGAGAGAGAGAGAGAGAGAGAAAC